CCATTAATAAATGCGTTATAAATTTATAATATTTGGAAACGTTTTATAATAACGTTGCCTTGTATGATGAAGGAGAAACTGTTAGTAGAAGATAAAGGAGTGTCAAGTACATAGACATTGTTTAAAGTCACGCCATACTTGTACGCCATTCGTACGTTACGCTTAGAGATCGAAAAATTCGAAAACGCTTATTGAGCGAAAACGGCGCGTTGTGCTTACAGTAAAATATACGACTCGTTTAAAAACGCTCACGAACGATGGCGTGGCAAACACAGAAACACCACATAGTGTAATTTTTTTCATCCCTATGTGTTATGATAGTTATACGCAAACAAAAAACAAAGCCCTTTTTAATCGTTGTTTTTTGTTTCATTCATGAATTTTGTTTCATTTTGCATCAATATTTTTTCTTAGTGTAATAAGAAAAAATATTGATGCAAAATGAAACGTATACGGATCATATCAAAGAACTGTTTTTGTGTATGTAATTTGTACAACACAGAACTCTACAAGTCTAATACATTTTTGGCCAGTTTAAGTGTTTTAGGGACAGTTTTTGTACTAACAATGTTAATAATTCATTTTAACAAATCTAGCCATCTAGCCCTATCATCAATAAATATGCATAAATTGCAACAAAAAAAACTGGGCAAAATACGTCATTTTCTTTAGTTCAAATCTCGAATTAGTTGTTTTAGGAAGAGTTAATGAATTTTGTAAAATATTACATACATTTTTTTTACAACATAATTGGAATGTTGGTTAGAACTTTTCATCACTTCTTTATAGACCTGTTGCAAAATGCATACAAGACCTTGTTGATGGTTTACAACTTACCGAGCGGTGCCTCTACCGTTATAATGGTGGTGTTGATCCAAAAATATTTTTCGGACATTTAACTCACAACGCCATTTAATTTCAAACTAAGCAGAACTTGTACTATGAAAGCTAGATGGACTGATGGAATACCTATAACATTTTTTTTAAATACATACATAATGTACATAGAAAACACACAAACTCTAAAACAAATGTTTGCAGATCATACAAACATTTGGCCCAACCCGGGATCGAACACGAGACCTACGCACAGCAGTTGCATACGCTACCACTGCGCCACCGAGGCAGTCAAACAACTCTCATTCCTACCAAATCATAAACAACTCTTGTTTAAAAACAGAAAATAAACCCAACTGAAATTATTCTTCTTTTACATATTTCAACTTAGTAAAGTAATCAATTTAAATAGGTACAAAGTGCAATTAAAGAAATCTAATTAATTTTTAAAATTAAGTATACTGTTTTTGTTAAATTGTAACTAACAAACCGGTATTCCTTGTAATTATGTGTCCGATTCCAAAAAATATTTTTATAGTGGATAAAGAATTTATTGTGGAAGGTTTTCAGCTATGAAATATTACGGTATTATCCTAAGCAGCAGGGCAGTGAACATAAACGTGATAGTACGCTGATAATTTCGTGAACCTGAGATTCCAATTATTTAAATATATTCAAACAAATGTCACTAAGGAGCTATTGGGGTGTTCCTTGTGGCTGTATTTGGGGAAGAGTTCATTATCGTGCTCGTCACGCGTGCAAACTTTCGCCTCGGCCTGTTTCCCAAGTGGGCCAAGCATCAGAGCGGTAGAATGTCGGGTGACCAGTGCAGTCTCGTGTCTACGTCTAGAGATGCTTATGTATATTGTACAGTGGGTTGTCTGCAGAGAAACATAATTAATACAGTACTTATATTACGGGGAAGAACAATTTTATACTGACAGCACTAATTTTTTTATTTATTTAGTATTAACAGAAAAATAAAATCATTTTTTTGACTCATTCTATATATTTCTAACTTACTTCTGAGAAATGTACACAGTGTGTATAGTGTATTCAGACCATCATTCTGAGTCTATAAACTTTTTATGCAATCAGCTGTCAAACGTTTAGGTGATTCTCCGTAGGTATCGCATAAAAGTAATAACTACATTTTAATTCTGTGTCAAACAGTCTACGCACACTAACACAAGTTAGGTTAGGTAAGGTTAGGGAAGCCGGAAGGTATGCAGTATTCATTTTAAAAATCCCAGCAACCCATCCCATCTGTGTTGCTGGGATTGGGGGAACACCTGTTAGAACACATTAACGCATATGATTTTGATGTTTTGAACGGTCAGCAAGAGTGTCATTCTTGAGTATCAGAATAGGTAACTGCTTTATGTCAGATGGACTGTATCCTTGTTTTTTTTTTGGCAATATTACCCTTAAGCTGATCAGAGAAACAAACGAGAAATATTTTTTAACAAACAATCGATTAGATGTTATATATATAGAAGTGTACTTTGTTTTGTTAATTAATTAAATTTTGTGGGGTTTCAAAAATATAGTACTCGATTTGTATCGTTGGTTAGTACAAGAATTCCTTATAGGATAATTATATTGAGGTCAGTAATCTATTAAATACCGTTCGAATCTATTGATTGTTGCGGTAGATGTGCTAACGAGCATCAGGCATCTCGCCACGCGAATATAGTGCATATTAAACACGATATTTTTTATTTTATTTTATTTATTAGGGACAAAAAACAGTTATACAATGCAGTCTTTACAATTGATTTAGCATTTACATATTTAAAACGTATAACCCACACTATTGTCCACGAGTTTATAGATGAAGTAGAAAAGGTAACGGACGCGCACTATACACAATCGGTGAATTATATGTAATAATATAAGATAGGTAGGTAGTTAACTGAGAATGTTATCATAGATCAGCAAGAATTTCAGTGGCAATTTTTTTATTTTTTTTTAAATTTAGAGTGAGTGAGAGCGAAAATATCCAAGCTCGTAACATGTGAGTTGTACGTTGTCAATAATCGGCGAAGAGGTCCGCGCTCTCCAGCTGACGAATGACTGACTATCTGTGATTATCAACTGATTTAAACTAAATTTTACAATGGATCGGTTGTTTCTTAAAAAATTGGGTCAGTATTAGGTAAGTACTAAAATAACTTGATGCATGTATTTAAAGTGATGAATTGATATTTAATAAAGACAAAGGCGATAGTGTGTTTTCCAACTTTTTTTTGAAGGCAATATTAAGTTTGCAAAGATAGTTCGAACGAAGTATTTAATTTTAGCATTTACACAGATACTCTCAATGAAGAATGTGGCCTGAATGTAATAATATGCTTTGGTAACAGTATAACATGACCTTCATACCATGCTGCTAAATGCAACGGCAATATGCGTACAGCATGACGTGACAAAACGGTTATTGTCAATAGTTTTAGCACTGACTGAAGTGCTAACTGGTCCTAACTGTTACCGTATAGTAGCTAACAATGAACAGTAACTGTTACATCAAATTTATTGCATTAACTCTGTTCAATATATTATGTTTCGGCGTAAATATGTCAAAAAAGAGCAGCTGTTTGATTACCAATTCAACTATGTTAGCTTAAGGCAAATAATTGCTTGGCTATCTGATCTCGCTTTATGCATACATATTATTATTAATATTCTAGCACTAACTCAATGGAACTAGTACAAGGATTGCATTGTTTGACCGTTAATTCTATTAGCGTCAAGTCAGTTATGAATATCTGCTTAGATACAGTACGATTTTGGTCCCTGCATTTGGTCTGCAGTAGTCTGTAAGGACCAAAAGCGTGCCATGGTATTATTACCATGAGCTTTGAGAGCCTTGTATTATTACAAGGTTTTTTTTTCGTAAATACGCACAACTGACGGCCTCTGAGTTTAAATAAACTCAGAGGCCATCCATTGTGCGTTCAGGTACAGTTAACTAGTTGAACCAACCTAAAGGTTCCCTTGTAAAGCACAAAATTCTCCTGAAGCCTTCGTAGGCTTCTAGAAGCGACCTCGCACCCGCAAGGATATTTACCGTTTTAAAATAGGAATAAACATACTATAGATATAAAAAAAAAATGTTTTTTTTTTACTATAGATATATCAGTTTTTGTAAATACTAACGTTTGAAATAATTGGTAGTACTCAGACAACGTAATGGAGATATATTTACACTAATAAGGAATCGAATGCGATATTTGATAAGCTGGCGAATGCTCTCTCTCTACATTATATTATAGAAAAGATGGCTGAGGCAAAAAAAATGTCATTGAATGCTGTCTGTCAGCCCATTCAAGGTTATATTATGGTGGCAAACGAGCTGCTAGTCACTTATTTGATTTGATCTGTATGACTTTTTTATATTGATATAAAACGAAGAATAATAATATTATTTTCGGTTATTTCGGTAGAATTTAAGGATCTACTGAACCATTTGCTCTGTTTAGTTTGAAAATAAATGACCTTGGTTAAAAAGTTACAAATTTATATTGCAAAGTTATGATTACCTACATCTGCTAATAGATTTTATAGCCTTGTCTAGTAATTACAAATATTTGTAATTTGTTGTGCAATTTGGTGAGTGTGAGACTGTAATACAAGGGTATTTCTTTCATTCTCACGAAATTAATATCGAAACGCATACATAAGGCTTTAAAATGAAACAGGTACATTTCGTTTTTTTGCGTTTGGTTAAAAAAAAGTGAAAGTTGTATATACCGTTGGTTAACGGTACTTTTTTATTTTTTGTGTTGGCTGCTCGGAGGATCTTTTTAATGTATTAATAATGTTCTATTTTAAACTATTTTTTATTTAAGTTTAAAAAGGAACTTCAGCAGCTAGTACCTTCATGTGAATTTAGTTAAAGTTAAGGAGCCATTAGCATTCTAATTATATTAGATGGGATGCCCTTTAGCAGAAAAAATTATCTCTATTATATAAAACAATGGTAACATGCGTACATGCTCAGCAAAATTATGGGAAAAATTAAGTGTAGAAAGCATACCTTTGTACAATTTTCAATAATACAGGTAAATAAGGTATTAAGAAAATATTATTAAATCAACAAATAAAGCTAAGTAGTTTTAATTCTTATCTTAAAAAAAAATACTATAAAATAAAAAACTTACACTCCGACAACGCCAGGCAGTTCACCGAAGAAATCCTTCCTCACCTCGGACTTATATTTGACAAGGCAAGGCATAGCGGGCCGGAAGGGTGTAGGGCCCTCCCTTCTATACATGCGCTCGATCTCATCGGCGTCGTAAACAAATAACAGGTCGGGTCTGCCGATCAGCCCTCCCAAACGAACGATCCTCCCATATTTGTCCAAAAAGTGTTTGGTCACTTTCGCGAACTCAGATATATCGAACTGGCCTATAATAGGCACCATCCGCCACGTATTACCCAGTATAGGAATCGGTTTGGGTCCCGGAACTTCGGAATACGGTTTTGCATTTGCAAAAATTTCCTCATTGAGCTCCGCAGTTGGAGCTATTTGTGAGCGTTGTCGTTTAGAGAACGGGCAGCCAGTTGCGGCGGACCTGGCATTTTTCACTACAAATGGTTGCGTGTATACCGCGAACGTGCGGAGAGAACGACCCATGGCGGTTAATGCCGCAGAGACGACTGCGCGTGTACGATATCCCGGGTTGTACCGTTGCGCGGGAGTGGCAGTCGCCGCACCGGCCGCAGAAGGGAGCGCAGCTATAAGTCACGGACAGCAATTAACGGCTGTTCTCTTTTTTAAATATTTTTGTGTATAAACTTGTTATGTCTTGTGGTTTGGGTCAAGTCTTGGCTGCTCTTATCTTACGGAGTTGTAATTTTGTTTGTCAGGTCAGTTACGATTAGAAGAATTGGTTTCTCCATAATGGAACTTCGATATATTCAACTTACATTTACGAAATTTCTATAAGTATTGAATAAAGACTGTATTTTTTAAAGAATTTATTTTTATAAAATAATGAGATTTTAATGTTCTACACATATCTATGTACAGTGTTACTGGTTAACTCGACCTAGATACTTTGAAGGGTTATAGTTGCCATCATTTCTGATAGATTTCACTATGAAATTTCATATCACAAACTTAACAATTTGCAAGATACTGGACTTTTAAGATTTTTATTAAACGCCGAATTTCGCCTAATCTGTTTTTTTATAGTTAATATATTGTTTTAGATTTTCCATTACCAAAATTGTACTTAACAAACTGGACCTTAGCAAAAAGAAATAAATTTAAAAAAAAAAGGTTTTTATCGTGACGAATATAAAACAAATTAAACAAATATGACGCACGTAATTATTATATTAAATATTAGGAATACTTTAATGTTTATAGTTACGTTAAAGAAGTACAGCTAAAAATTTCAAACATTATGTAGCTGTAAAAACGGCTAAGTATATAAAACTATAAAGACCCAGTACCTATATGGTTTGATATGCCATGTTTCAAAAAGTCTAAAGAATGACAGTTTTAGTTATACGGGTTAATGAAATCGAACAAGACATTAAAAAATGTCGAAATTTAACCGCCAGCTGATCTTAAATATCGATAAATACACATTTTTGTGTAAAACTTCATAAAACGCTTATGCGCATTTTCTCTGTATTGATTCGTTTGTAGCAGCAAGCAATAGACTAGCTCTCCTTTCCAGTACTGAGCTAGATTCAAGTATGCAAATTAGTGTAAGTCGTCAGACTTGCAAATACTATACATACGCTAAACAGAAAAGAAAACCAACTGATATTAATACACTAAATATACTTTTAAATATATATACTATACTTTAAAGCTGATCCAAATCGTAATTTTTTTGGCACTGGATAATATATAATTACTATAAAAAGCTGTTGTGTCGCTGCAATGTGCGGTGTGCAGCAAGGCCAACACTTTATTCGGCTCGACGTCAATGACACGCGACAATTTACAGCAATGAGAACATTTTGTGTCTACTTCAGAAAAACGATGAATAAAGAAATTTAAAAAAAAATGTGGCGATATATTGTAGCCATGTTCTGCATAATTTTTAACAAGTATAAATCTCACACGTCTCACATACGGCCGTCTGATTCCCAAACTAGACAGAGCCTGTGCTATGGTAACCAAACTGCTGATACTTATATATTTTTAAATACATTAATATTATAGGTAAATCGCACCCAGACAGAACAAATGACCGTGCTCATCACACAATATTTGTCCTGGGTGGGAATCGAACCCACGACCTCCCGCTTAGCAGTGAGGGACATTATGACATGAAGTATGATATAAAGGTATAAAAAGTTGGTAGATAGGTCAAGTTAAACATATTTAACACATAATAATTGTAAAGATGAGAAGCGAAACATTACGATAAACGATATTTCATCAATTTTAAAATTAAAACCAGACTTCTGAAAAGCATTAAACAATTTGAAAATCGTGTGTTCAAACTATTAAATATTTATTAAATGAGAGTGCACTTTGCCTCAGTCCTCTGGAAATTGACGACATTGTCGACAATATTTTGCGTGTGAGTTAACATTTTACGTGTTTCTGAATCCATGGAATTCTGTCAGACAAGGTCTAATTCTAACAAACCCACTGTGTCGGCATATATTATATGCCGTAATAGTGGTATATTATAGGATTAGCAATTACATCTTTAATTTACAATTATTTTTTTTGTTTTGACAATCAAATGTAAAATGAAAAGTTCGCGCTAATTATCATGCATAATGTCTATACAACTTCACAACATCAAGCGTTGAGTCCCGGCCAACCAGACATGATCACCTCGCCTGGTTGGAGGATCCTCTCTGTGTTGGAGGGTCATAAAACCCGTTTCTCTATACTACCTTAATCAGCATTTACTTATATTGGAAATATCAAAAATTTGTGTGAGACCTGTGTTTGATTGTTCTCTATAATGAAAGACACCAAGTTTATTTAAAGAGTTCTTCACCACTCATTGCACAGCTCATATAGCCTCGACACACATCGAAGCCAATACCAAAATTAAACCTACTTAATTATACCACCAATGCGGATGGAATCACAAAGTATTATGTTCTTATTTTGGAATTTAACCGTGTTTTTCTGTATGACCGTATATTCGAAGCCAATGGAATGGATGAGATTCCAAACCAACGGTCACACACATCTTTGTACTATGTTTTTCTACTTTTCAAAATAAAAACATATGGACTATTTCTACATTCTTAGGTTTGGGTATCTATTTTTTTAATTCATAAGTATATTTATTTAATTCATACTTACATAAGTTTTTTTCAATACTTTTCTTGTATCAATGTCCGAATTAATGTTGTATTTTATGTTTTAACCTTTCTGTATTGAGATAGGAGCAAAATCCTTTACGAGCCTAGCATTTTCTAAACGTAGATTTATCTTAAAATATTTATTTAGTTGGCAGCACACTCTATCTGTCAGTGTCTTGAATAAAATGAATGAGCTGAGCTTTGTTTGTTGTGATTGAGATTAAGTTGTAATTTCGTAATAAACAAATTTGAACATACTATGAATAATGATTTCAGAATTTGCAAAAGAGAAAGTATTTTGGACAAGAAAGATGAATCTAAAGCTAGTGAAATTTATTCAAAACAATCCAAACATTTGGAATCCTAACCATCCGAAATACACGTCAGTTGAATACCGCGATCAAACTTACGCCAATTTTGCCAATAAATATGGCAATGAATTCACGGGACAAGCAGTGAAAGATCGATGGACGAATATCAGATCTACTTTTGCTAACTACTTAAGAAAATTGAACGCAAGTCGAACGAAGGAAGGAGAGGTAGTTTTCTTTCCTCCAACTAACATTTATGTTAACAAATGATCAACATCATAGTATGTCCAACCATCTCCCTAATAAACATAATAGTGTCAGTAAAGGTCTACAATAGTTAGGGCCATGCCCATGACAAGACACGGCCCTGGAGGTGACAACACCGTACCTAAGTCAGGAGCTTTAGATTCACACATTTCATAGAACTAACAGGGCCGAAGAATTTATACCAGCCCCTCAATTATCATTTTGTAGTGTGGTGAAATATAGATAACCAAAAAAATAACATAAATATACATATTTTTATAGAAAGGAATAGATAATACATGCAATCACATGTATTATCTATTGAAGAGTTACCATATTTAATTGAAGAGAAAACTGAATGAAGCCAATATTTATATTACCACAATTAAAATGTTTAATGATAAAAACTTTTTTTGAATTATGTTACAGGTATATAAAGTTAAATGGCATTTATGGGAAGCTTGCAGTTTTTTACTAAATGTAAATAAAAGAAATAAGTTGAGAAAATCAACAGCTGAATGTCGCCAAGAAGAAGCCAAGGTAATTTCAAGATATAAAAATACTGATGTTGCATTTTTGTAATTTTTATCACAGTCAGATCTAAATACTTAGGAAAAAATTAATGGAAGATGAACAATGTATTATATTTAAATTCTGTTTATAGATTTGTTGTAAAAAATAATAGAAAGCTAGAAAAATATTCATAAACCTAACAATTTATTCTAAACATAGGATACTACCCTACACTTAAACAGATATAATTTATTTCAATATATTTGTCTTTGAATTATCTGGTTTAATAAAATGTATGTTTCTGTTGTCCATTTATTCTTCTTTATTATCGCTATTTCAGGACAACGTTAATGTTAAGGATGAAGAATTAAGCAGCTATGAAGATGATTTTTGTAACAACTCTACGAATGATGATGATTCAACATGTCAAAATGTTGCAAATGGTTTATTAAATGTGTTTCGAGGTGTACAAAATGATATATTTAATGTAGATAACACATATGGAAATTTGGGGCATACCATAGCCAAGAGGCTGAATGAAATGAATTCATTGGAAGCCACACAAGTCTCAAATAAAATAATGAATATATTGTTGTTATATCATGAAGATAATCCATATAATCCTAATAATATAAAATCTGAAGATTATAGATTGTTTTTATTTTATAGAAAATTAGTGGAAATTAATAAATGGATTGTCCCATGGTTAGTTTTTGGATCTGCCATATATCTAGTTGATCCTCTTCCACTATTATTTTTGACTATAAAGTATAGAAAAAGTAACAAGTACCTAGTAGAAAACTCTACTAGGTACTTGTTACTTTTTCTATGCCTAGAGAACCTGGGTTAATCTTGTTTCTTCAAGTTACCTTATATTAGAAATAGAAACATCTGGGTAATTTTATAGGTTCTTGAGTTTCTTTCCTCAGTTGCCTTAGGGTTTGTGCATCGTGCCAGAGATGACGAGCGACTTTAGGTCGCACTGACTTGCGGCGACTAAATAGAACATAATAATAGGCTCAGAGCAGAGTACGTCGCTCGAGGTGGATTAAGGTTTTCTGCTATCTATTTCACTATTAGACTTTCGATAGCGACTAGACTTAGGTACTAGGCTTCGCACGGGTGCAATGTAGATACTAATGTGGTGTCAGTGTGGAGTAATGAACTATAATAGGGGTTAAAGTATGAAATTGCTGTTGTATAGTAATAGATACTTTGAATTGACATAAAACTTTCATGGTTACTATATATTCATCATAGGTTCTTATTTTTTGCGTTTCTTCTTTTAAAAAATGTGCGGCATTCGATTTTCGACTGTCGATTGTTTTTTTTTTATTCAGCGTAGACGTAAAAGATGGATACTTCGAAAAGCCGAGTCATTTTTGAATACGAGTTCCGATGCGGAACTAACGCGGCAGTAACCGCTCACAATATCAACGTTGCGTTTGGAGAGGAGACTGCTAATGAACGCACCGTGCATTTTTGGTTAAACGCTTTCGTAATGGAAACTTCGACTTGAAGAACGAACCACCGTCAAAGACCACCCACACAGGTGAATAACGCTGAATTGAAGGAGATGGTGGAAGCCGATCCGAGTTAAACTACACGGAATTTAGCGGCATGGTTTAAAGTTACCCCACCTACAATATTGACTCATTTGCATCAAATCAATAAGATAAAAAAGTATGAGAAATGGGTGTCTCATGATTTGACTGATCTGCAGCAAGAAATGCGTGTTGAAACTTGTGTTACCTTAATGAATCGGTACAGAAATGAAGGAATATTGGATCTGTTATAATGTATATAATGGTAACTGTTTGGTGGTCTCTTCAGGGTGTTATTCACTATAGCTTTCTCAGATCTGGTCAGGCAATTACACCAGATCTTTACTGTGCCGAACTTCGAACAGTGATGGCAAAACTGGCAATGAAACAGCCCCGACTCATGAATCGATCTTCACCATTATTGCCCCATGATAACGCAAGACCTCACACTGCACAAGAAACCGTTGTAACTTTACAGGAGCTGCAGTTAGAAACCATACGTTATCCTCCGTACTCGCCAGACCTTGCTCCAACGGACTATCATTTTTTTCGTGATTTGGACAATTTTTATGTGATAAAAAAAATTCTTCCCAGGAGGCCGAATCCAGATCCCCAGAGTTCTAACGTAAAATTTTAATGAACTTCCGTTTAGGTAGGCAGCAATGTATAGATAATGCGGGTAAATATTTTGATTAAAAAAATATGTTATATCTTAGAAAAAACAAGTTTAAATTTTTCAGTACAAATCTGCTACTTCATGCTTGAATCCCTAACATTATGATTAGACTATACAACAGGTACCTTAATATACAGTTATTTAACTGTTAACTTATCTAAAGTATTTAATTGTATAAGAAGTAATATTTCTTATCCAATGTATTGTTTAAAATACCCCTTCGTAAAGAACTCATTACCTTTTTGGAACATGTAAAACATAAAATTGTTTACTGTTGGTTATCCTTAAAAGATAGTTATATACTAAATCAAACTTTTTTATAGTAGATCTTTTTGAGATAAACAATTTCGTTGTGCATTATTTTGAGCTATCTCGTAAGATTTAGCTACGTTCAACACGTATAACATCACGTTCCAAATCTTCTCTTTTTCCTGATTTTGACAGTAGTATGTACTTTATTTTTTAGCCAAACAGTATGTGCAGTGCTAATCTAAATCTAATAAATATTTCTAAACACATACATATTATAGATAAACGACATACATATAATAGATATTATTTTTATAATGAGAAATGTAAACAAAAAAATTAAAATACTACATTTAATATTTTTGAAGAATTTACGCGTTTTGTTGTTAGCAAGCGTCACACATGTAGAAGATAACCTGCATTACCTACTTAAAATACGCTTTTTTTGCCATGGCTATTATATTTTTTTGCTTATCCAAAAAAAATCCATCAATATATTACAGTTTTTTTTAAGTAAACTGCTGCACTAAGAATAGAAATATATCGTAACTAATGGAATAAGTTACTTGGCAAAAGGATCTCAACAATTAAATTCATTCAAAACTGCGAAATCAAAAATTTTATAACAAGTCCCAACAAAAGAAATGAATTTTTGCTATTACGTGACAGACAATGTAAAAACGTCATCACAATATTGACATTGACACTGTTGATTTGATATTGACTTTATAGGTTATGTTGACAAGTTGCAGAAGTTAAAAATCAAGTTTATTTTACTTTAGGTATTCGTAATAACATGAAAAAGTTTAAATCTTTATAGTCATGTTCAAGATAAGTAACTTTTATGACAAGAGCAACTCATTAAAGTTCCTAAATTTAATGATATCGAGATGGGACGAATTACACAATGATACGGAAGTATTTCGTTATAAAATCGATAAGTTAGAAGAGCGGTTCGTAAATGAGAAATATCTTATACTAGTGAGTTTTATTATACCTTTTTCTATAATCTGCACTTACCGCTATATATGGTTTCCAACACTGCGATCTCATTCTTTAAAATTATTAAATTAAGTACAAGTTATTTAGATCAACAATTATAAAAAATAGATCAAATCATTCAATCTTATTATAATAATTTCTCACATTTCTTATTAGTTGTTTCAAGACTGTTTTCGTTTTTCAGTTAAACCCTGATCGTAATACGAAAAGGAGAGCCCCTGAAGAGATGAACAATATATGCCAACAGTTTGATAAAAATAAATTTAACTTTACGAAAGTTCCATCTAATGAAATATTGTTTTCTATAGAAGACAAAGGTACTTCTGATTATAGTTAATTTCAGTTCTGCTTCTGTTTACTGTTAATTGATTAAATATTACAACAGGGGACAGCCACCCAAGTAGAATAATGTTTTCTGCATTACCAATTTGTGTTCAGGGATTCTCAGTTTTTCACTCCTCCTGGTATTTTGCCTTGGCCTTTGCGTTTAGCTATGTTCAAGCAGCAATATGTATTGCATGCGTGTTTTGTTCTAAGTATCAGCATTAAATCAAATTTCACCTTGCAATGGCTAAGGCCTTCACTGCATCATACACATAGTCAAACACATAGTGATTAAGGTTTATAGAGGAACAGCAGCCCAACACCCTCTCCGTTACCTGGGTTACCTGTCTACTTGATAATCAAATTAAAGATTAATGTAGAAAAGATAAGTCTTTCTTTCTTTCTTTCTATCTTTCACTTATAGGTTCAGATGTTCACACAGTTCTAGTGAATGTAAGTCCAATATCAAGATACCACTCACTGCTGTGCCCATCAGTGAACAAATGCTTACCACAGGTTGTGACAGTTGAAAGCTTGGCTTTGGCCGTAGAAATTATGTTTATTGCAGAGAATCGGTAAGTATAGGCAAGTACATGCTGACAACAACTTTGATTGTTGTCATATAACTTATAAAACAATCCCAATATCTTTGCAAGATTGTAGTACTTTCCAATATTTCTGCTGTCACTAATTCAAGATGCTAACCTTTCTTTCTACTAGTTCATTGTTAAGTTAGTTTACTATTGTTGTTGTTCTAAATTATGCAAATCTTTTTATCTATTTTTTATTATTCTGAACAGGAACTTGAGAATTTTATTCAACAGCCTGTGTGGCTTCGCATCTGTAAATCATCTACATTATCATCTTTTTATTGAAGAGAATGACTTCTATGTGGAAAAAGTGGTGAGTAATGTCATCCATAATGGACAAAATTCTGAATAACGATGCTGTCCTGGTGTACCGAGTAGACTTTAAAACGAGTTTAACACATTCAAAGCCGTTGCCTTAGCTTTCAAAGTAAAGTGCTGCTCTTGAGATACAGGTGATAAAGAAACCCCCAAACACGAAAACAGACAATAGTACCTACCAATGAAACCTTTGATGAGGAGTCAGGGAATATCGATCTCAATTAAAAAACGGCGTGAGGGGCTATGGACCCCCGGCCGGAACGAAATTCCGCAAGAAGTATCGGAAAAAAGTAGACTTGCAACGAATATTCGGTTACTATTCGGTATTCGGCCTATTCGGCTGCTTTTATTAAATTCGGCCGAATACCGAATATCTACATATTATTCGGCCGAATACCGAATACTTAAATAATATATTTTGTCATAAAGAAATAAATGAAAAATTAAAATCGATTGATTACGTATATATTCATATTTTCATTTCTGTTATAATCATTTAAGTAGTCATTGGTGCATAACACAGGTACATAATCATCTTCGGAATTGGAAAAATTGAGGATTCTATGTATTTGAATTACTGTGGTAATCAAAATTTAGAAGGGTAAGGTTCTCATTTCTTTTATAATCATTTATTAAGTAGTCATTGGTACATAAAACAGGTACATAATTTAATCATTTTCTGTATTAAACAAGTTAAGAATTTTTCTATGCATTTGAATTATTTTCATAATCAAAATTTAGAAGGGGAAGGTTATGGTGCTGAAAGACTAACTTTTCTGCATTTTATTTTGTCGAAACATGCAGTGCGTTAGCAATATACCGCGCAGAGCAACAGCGGGCGCGCGGGCGAAACAATCACGTCTGTACAAGTTTTTGGCGCTAAAATCCAGCCGAATACTTTTGCCTAATATTCGGCTATTCGGTCAGGGGCCTCGCCGAATATTCGGTATTCGGTATACTGCCGAATATACTATTCGTTGCAAGTCTAGAAAAAAGGCTTGTTACCCTATTTTCGGTCTCGCTCCCATCCGCTCAGAGTGTTGCACGCGCGATAAGGAATTTCGTTCTAAAAAACCATCTACAATGTTTTATTAGCATTATATTTTGTTTTTGATTGCGGTTTTTTTTAGTTAAGTGATTATATTATCGTCTTATTCAGTTGTACAAACAAGTCGGAGAGTCAGTAAGACTTTACTAATCTGTCGCTGTCTTGGCTATCCGAAAAAAAGGCTTAAGTCCTATGCAAATAGACTACCACCCAAAAACATAAGTGTAGGAGAAACAAAACTGTTTCTAAGTAGTAACCCAACTAGTAAACACTGTTTAGACATACATACCTTAAAAAACTTGTTCCCTTCAAATTAGTTGTGTGTTCCAGACTTGGCAGCATGTAAATAGTCGTGTCTACCGACTGGACGAGACCTACCCTGTACCGGCATTTTGTTTTGAAGTACAAAGACATTCCATTTTAGAAACGACAATGGACATATACAAAGTGTTAGAATATTTCCTGAAGAATTCCATTGCGCATAATATTCTTTTGACCAGAAGACATCGGTTGGATGCTGTAGATGATGCAGTCAAAGTGATCATTTGGCCTAGGAAAAGTACGACGGGTGCTAAGCAGTTTTCGTTTATAAATGTAGCTGTTCTTGAATTAAGTGGCTGGTTTTCTGTTCACGGTGAGACAATTTTTGTTTTTTTTTTTTTGCATTTGTTTTGCAATAGAGAGGTTACAAAACCCGACCGTTGGTACTCCATCACCACCTTACGTACTAACAGCTATCCTCAGGAATGTCTTATTATCTCTATCTATAAATAACAATGTCCGCTTCATTAAAACAAATTTGACGAAAAAAAAGAAAAAAAATACCCTAAATTAATGGGGCTGATGGCGATACACTTTCCCTCCATTGCGTAAGTTCGACTAAAATTGTAGTTAATGATCTAATTCGTTTAATACGTCTCCACCCAGCTCTTCGGGAATATGGTCTTAAGTGAAGAAATCTTTCAAGTATAGCTAACCTGAAATTCTCACTTTATTATATTTTTTGTTCTATTCATTCATTGCACTTGTTATAAATCTAAATGTTAAATCGTGAAGAAATATAGTGCACGGAAGCACATTATATTAGGAATACTTAATGTTTATATGTTAGAAGAAATGCAGAAAGGTAAAATTTTAAACAATACGTGCTATAAAGTTAAAATTATTATGTTCAAGTTATACTGGTCATTAACTTTATAATAAAGTCACACATTTTACACTCGGCAGTCTGATCCCAAACTAGAAAGAGTGCCTGTACTATAGTAACCAGACCACTGATAAACACACATATATTTCTAAATACATACATATCTTTACATAGTATATAAAATGACGTCGCTTTTTGTTCTTGTACACTTAGATCATCCTGCCATACAATATTGTTCCTTATCCAATTAAATACGTTAGATACGTTGTGCATTTAATGTAGATCAAAATTGCCCATCACAGCATATCATTAATATTAATATAAAAATCTATACAAACAAATATTATTGAAGTGTCTGTTTGTAATGTCAAAATTATAGGTTTTTTTCATGCTTACACGGTTATTTGCACGATACCTATGCCAGTTTATTTTTTTTTGTCTGTCTGTTTGTTCCGGGTATTCTTCTAAATGGCTGGACCGATTTCGATAATATTTTACTACCATGTAGCTGTCTACATAAGGAATAACTTAGCCTATTTTCCTCTCAGAAAAACCCTTTAAAATTTTGACCGGTCCGGGCATTGAACCCACTAAGGCAGCGCTTTTCAAATTCAACGCGAACGAAGTCGCGGGTATCAGCTAGTTATACATAAAGATGTCCTGTAGTATAGTCCTATCATAATATTAGTAAATTATTTAATCCACACTGACCCCACATTAGTAGGATCTACATTGCACCCGTGCTAAGCCAGGGCGGATCGCTAGTTATAGATAAATTACACCCAGATACAGAACAGAATGAAATGGAACAAGACATTTAAAACGTTGAAAATTCAACCGCCATCCGATCTCTAGTTATTATACCAAGAACAATGTATGGACGATAAATTTAAAACGATTTTTGATTTATTATATGTTTTAGATGAGGAGCATTTCAAGAATCTTACTGCAGAAGATCTAGAAAAGGAGTTGATGAAGTGGAAATTAGACGATTTTGACAAAATATGTGAGGACATCAAACAGTTATAGTGTGAACCAAAGTTTTATTATTTGTTTTTCGTGAAAGTCCAAACAGTACAGTTTCATACAGTTTAGAAGGCACTAATTGTTAATAAATGTTTCATCTACCAATGGCTTATTATTTACTAATTCACAATTGCATAAAATTAATAAATTATCTGTCTATCTGATTCATATCAGTAATTTAACCGTGTACAGTTTTTTTTCCATTTTGCCTCTTCCACTCATCAGAGGAAAAGCAGCATCGCCTTCTTTATCAAAATTAAAGTTTAGTTGAACTAAAAAAACAACAGTCAACAAAAATCTTGTCTATATTACAGACCCTTTAGTGTAAAGGTAGATAACTCCTAATAGAATCTAGACACGCAGTAGCAATCTTAAAGGAATTTAAATAGAAAGAAGATGGCGACGTTGCAGCCATGTCTGATTTTACAGGTGTTCCTGTTACTTTGATAATACTTTAAATGCGGTGTTTACATTGATGTAATTGTAACATTAAGATTTGTACGTAACTTGGGATTAGTTTAAATGTCAACAATGGTTGGTAGACCTTAAATAGATAAACTCAGAATCTGTTAAACATAAACACGTGAAATTTTGATTACTTATTGAAACGTTTTAAATCGACTGAAATCCCAAATTTCACCATTACAGCTCAAATAGCTATTTTGCTTTAATTTTATTTTCCGAAGATTTTTTGTGACATGAAATTATTTCCAAATAGCAAACATAGCAGAAAAAAAGTACATAAACAAACAAGTACTTAAAAATTGTGTTTTTTAAGTAAGTACTTGTTTTTTTTATATTCTTCTGAATAAAATTTTGGATTATCTACAGAACTAGGCACCCATTACGATCTTAATTCTTTTACGCACGAACAACTTACCCAAATTCGTAACATTGAACTTGGCTAACATATTTACATTTATGTTTTTGATTCGATAAAAAATTAAATGGGTTTTTATTCGTTGGTCGTAATAATATATCGGCATAGGTTATCACATATGATAATGCGACGAGTCATAACGTGTTTATAAAATGATGGATGAGAGAATGAATTGGGCTTACTCACTAGTTTTTTTTTATAAAGTAGAAGACATACGAGCAGTCGGGTCACCTGACTACCGCCGCTCATGAACGCTTGCAACTCAGGAGTCACAAGAGCGTGGCCGATCTTTGAGGTAGGAGTATATTCTTGAAGGCCGTATCAGTCCGAAAATAGAGCAGCCTACACTTTGTTGCACAGACTGGTTGATTCCACAGTTAATGAATTCACCCCTGCATTGAGGACATCTAAAAACTACTAAACTAAGGTTTTGTTGTTGTGTGTTTGTACAAGTGCAATCAATGTTTTTATATTTCGCGCCATGTGCGCAAAGGAAAGCGATCTACACTAACGATTCAAGTAAAATAAAACCTTAAAAATTTATGAGAATTGACGTGTGTTTTGTTAAAGTTGTATTTGAAATTTTCGTAGTATCTATAGGACTTCGTAGTTCTAACAGTTCGACGGGTGGCTAGGAAGGAAAAACAGACGGGTGCCTGTCGAAACTTACAGTTTCGACAGGCACCCGTCTGTTTTTCCTTACGCCTATTCGCAAACAAAGTGACAGTTAACAGCTTTTTTTCGTCTTGGTTATAGTCACACGAAATTCACTTTACAATGTTTTTGAAAAATCTACTTTCAAAAACATTGTAAAATTGAATGTCGTTTTCATACTCAAGAGGGCTGATTATTATCCAACTTAAAAAAAGATGGAGTGTCTCAATTCATTGCATTTTTTATGTTTGATACCTCAACACTCCATTATTTAAAAACCAATTTTCGAAGGTATACTTCCCGTTCCGTTCACAAAACGCAAAATCCCTTTAAAAACTACTTACAATGAAACTGCATCTAGTTTTTTAAAAATATAAATTACCTACTTTACAGAAAATAGTTAACATTATTTTGAAAAGCAATAATGCAACTGCGATATTGATGATTCACAAACGGAAATTTGTTTATCTACACTATCTACATGTTTATGTAACAAATTGGACGCCGTCACTCTGCTGTGAGAATAACTCACGCTTCCCCTTGACCTCCCACAAGGGAATATAATTACGTTACTGATACAGTATTGAGTTCAGTCGTGCGAACATCGGTCGCGCTCGCACCCTCGTGCACAACAACTTAAACATGAAGCTTCCTGTGCTCTTTGTTTCAACGTTAATATTGTTACTGAGTTTCAGCGAATGTGGAAGCACAACTTGGTTTCCAAATATTGTAGATTCTTTCACGAATCGTACTTCACAAATAACTACTTATGTCAGAGAAAAAGGACGCAATCTGAAAAATTACTACGTACAAAATGTGAGAACTAAAATCAATTCGTATCTTGGAATACATCCGAACCAGAGTAGCACAACAATTACAGTTGACGTAAAAGATAAAGATGCCAGAGTGAAAAGAACATTTCGTGACTTCCTAGAGGACGTTCCCAAGCGAGAAGCCAGGGGTAAGATTTCAGATGAAACCGACAATACAGAAAATTGTGGCATTGATGATCCAACGATTCAATTCAGCACGCCACAGCTTATTGCTTTTAATGGCTACCCAGCAGAATCACATACGGTCATGACATCTGATGGATATATCTTGACAGTGCATAGGATCCCGTATAACAAAAAAGGACCTCTTAAATCAGTGCCCCGGAAAACAGTTCTCCTACATCATGGTCTTCTTGGAAGCTCTGCGGACTGGGTCATTGCTGGCCCTAAGAAAGGTCTGGCTTATATTCTGTCTGACGCTGGCTACGACGTATGGCTAGCTAACGTTCGAGGAAACACATATTCTCGGGCTCATGTTTCAAGAAGCATAGACTCTTATGCATTCTGGAACTTCACGTTTCACGAAGTAAGCCAACACGACCTGCCGGCTGTGATAGACTACATTATGGATATAAAAGGATGGGACGTGAAAATAAACTACATCGGACATTCAATGGGTACTTCAATAATGTTTGCATTACTTTCCACGAAACCTCAATACAATAAGATCTTGCGAGCTGGGTTCGCCTTAGCTCCAGTCGCCTACATGTCAGACATAAAAAGCCCGCTCAAATTATTAGCAAAATTCAGTGATAACATAGCATATCTTATGAAACTTCTCGGTGCAAATGAGTTTCTCCCACAAAGTACAGTATTGAGATGGTTGTCCAAATATGCTTGTGAAATAAACCATTACGAGGCAGTTATTTGTGAAAATTCCTTGTTTGTATTGTGTGGGCATGATGCAAAACAGTTCAATAAGACCTTGTTGCCGCTAATACTGAACCACACTCCTGCTGGAGCTTCGACCAAGACTTTGATTCACTACGCTCAAGAAATAAAAAACGAGGGTAGATTCCAGCAATTCGACTACGGTACAACTGGGAACATTAAACAATACGGTCAGCTAACCCCTCCCGAGTATTCAGTACATAAAATAACATTGCCAATTGCTTTGTTCAGTGCTCAAAATGATTGGTTGTCAAGCATCACAGATGTGACAAATTTATACGCGCAACTAGAAAATCCAATCGCACATTATATTGTTCCTCTGAAGGAATTCAATCATATTGACTTTCTGTGGGCAGTGGACGCGCCAACACTTGTTTACGCGAAGTTATTACAGCTAATGGAAGAAGGTATCGGACGTCGTACATCCATGTATACTGCTGCAGTAGAATCAAATGTGGTAGACGAATAAAATGTAAAATAGTTTAATTAAAGCTTAATACCAAAGTATTTATAAAGTTTGATTTGTTCAAATCGTTCCTCCGGTTTCAGGAGAATGTTATGTTTATTATAACTTCGATGTTGCTGTAGGTCTCCGGTTTCAGGAGAATGTTATGTTTATTATACCGCATTCTTCTGTCACGTAAGGGATCGTAGATTCGATTCCCGCTTGATGCAAATATTTGTATGAAAACATACTTCTACTTGCATTGGTCTGGGTCTAGGAAAAATATGTTCGTATTTAGATTTACAATGTGTATTTACATTTACATAAACACAAACTCCATAAAAGTGTAATAACGGAACTCTATTTAAGTCGATCGAGCGGTTTAGGTAGAGTTTAGAACATCTGATTCAAATACAAAATAATTATAAATACTCGTAGTAGAAAATAATAAATTGTTAGCTCAGAAATTGTTGTGTTTGACCATAAGTGTTCATTTATTAGAATCATAGTATTCATTTTGTTATGAGTTTTCGCTCATAGTTATTGTAAGTATGCTATGTGCTTTGTTAATTGATATACATCAGAGTGTTTAAAGATATTTATTCCTGGAATGTTAATTAGACAAGTACCTTACCTATTAAAATTCCTCTCCAAATATAGTTGTGTGTTAGAAAGAGCCTTTGTGTACATTGGTAAGTATTTTATATGTCATTAGCATAACGGGAACCTGATAGTAAGTGATTACAGGTACCTTGAGACCAAAATATGTCATTGTTTTGATAAGAGGGCTCGGATTTCCGGGTGACAGTCTCAGGTACAGGCTGGCCCGTTCGTGTCCGACATGCCACCGACAGGTGGTATCCGAGGGGATTTCCGCACGAAAGAAAAAAAAAAAAAAAAAAAAAAAAAGGTACAGGCTGGCCCATCTCTAGCCTATTGGAGGACCTAGGCACATCAAGATAATGGGATTCCTACGAACTTGACTGAGCACTATTTTGTTAGAATAGACAAAGAAAATATTTTAGTCAGGCATTACAATTGGATTTTTCGAAATAAATATGTTTTTCGATAATAAATATTGATTATTGATTGATCTGGCAGGAATTAATGGGCCCCGATTAATCGAGGAGCCCTGGGCACATGCCCAGAGTGCCCAGTGGGAAAGAGGGCCTGAGATACAGGTATGCTATCCTGACACACTCGGACATATTCCTTTTTAGTGGTCGTCTTCCTACTGATTTTTCCTTTCATACTGAACTCTCTATTTTCCCAAGTGCCTGGTTGTCCGTAATAGCCATTGTCCCCTATTAGGTAATTGCGAGATTAAACAATTGTAGTGTGTGCGTTTATTGCGTCTCTACTTGCTCTTATGTAGGCGGGTGTGTATTTGTGTAAGTATGTGTATTACGTTACGGCGTAGACATAATCCGATATCGGCGAACTTACAAACAAATCAGTACAGCCTATGTCTAACCCTTCAGATTGCCGGCTCCTTGGGACTCAGGAGCTATGTGGTGTTTCCACTAAAAACCATCCTGACGGCCGGCCTTAGGCGCCCTACTCTGGATAGGACCCGAACCATGTGATTTCAGGTCCTAACGTCGCCGCCACACCTAACTAGACCCGATCCTAGGAGAAGGCGTAAGCTCCCCACGCCAATCGGCCAGACCAACAGAGGTATCCACACCAGCGGCCCGCGACCGTATTGTAAGCTATATTTTTACGCTCACGAATATGGACCTGGAGGTCATACCAGGTATTATCTACCGTTAGTTTGGATTATAACACTTCTGGCGATTCAGCTCTTTTTATCGTAGGTATGTATAAAGTTACTGTTGCTGCTGGTTCGAAAGACAGAGGGTCTAATGTGTAACCTGAAGAGGAAATACAGAAGCGTGTCCCTGATCGCTCGCTTTTTGTTAATAGAGAAGATAGCACTCATATTAGTAATGTTTATTTATTAAACTTATTGACTATGACTCATACGATAGGACGTGTAATGACTAAAGCAATTTATTAGTTATTGTTGAGATTTGTGTACAATTGCGATTTTATTATTTATCTGTTTGAGTTGAGTCATTTGACCCTTGCACTCTGTTACACACACACAGTTGAGTGATAACGATAAAGACCATCCTTACATACTTGGTATAAAATGAAGTCGCTTTTTGTTCTAGTACGCTTAGATCTTAAAATAAAAAATATTAAAATAAAATAATAAACAACCTCTGTAAAAAACCACATGAGCAGTATGCCGTGGGCCGCATGTCCAGGAATACCCCTTCACGTGTCCCTCTGTTGCGCAGAGGGCACGTGTAAGGGCTACGTCGGAGGACGACATCTCTCAGGTGCGACGCGATCATCGTCGGAAGTTCCGCATGGAGCAACCGGCAGTAATCACTGCCGAACTGCCGGCAACCACCAGCACTGCACCAGTGCCTGTCGGTGAGCGTTCCGGCACATTTCGAGCTCGTTCTGGTCTTCCCCGCTCTTACCCTCTCACCCGCGCGAGTCTGGTCATAGACCCTCGCGTCCATATCCGCCAGGATTTCAAAAGGTGGAAAACCTGCCAGGACTGTCGCCGCCTCCGACGAAACGCTGCGGTATCCCCGTACGATCCGAATGGCCCCTACCCGCTGCGCGTGATTGAGCTTAGCTCGACACAGATTTTATCACAGCACAGTAGAGGCGGCGGCAGCCTCTGTAGGGAGCCCGCCACCATCGTGTAGGAAGCCCGCCACCCCGTGTAGGAAGCCCGCCACCCCGTGCAGGAAGCCCGCCAGCCATGCTATTACCTACCTATAATGTGTAGAGTCCAAGTTTTTTCTGTAATGTATGAAATATGACGAATATTATTGTTAACTACATGCTTTACTTAAGCAATGCATTCAATTTCCAGGAATTGTAAAGAGTGGCTGTTGCTCCACCAGAAATTCGCACGATAAATCTATTTTATTATGTATTCTTCAATGTTATAAGTAGGTATATGACGTTAAATTTGCTTAAAATTAACAGTTAAGTTGCACAATTTAACAACACAGTTAATAATCAAAAGACTTAATATTTTAAATGCATCTTCCCTATTAAGTACATCAACGGCGAACAGTAATTGGTGTGCTACGTATCTATACAAATAAATAAAATTGGAGTGTCTGTTTGTAATATTAAAATAACCGCTTTTTACTAAATGCATATGTATGTTTACACGGTACATATGCCAAAATATCATTTTTTACAATTTTTGTCTGTCTGTCTGTCTGTTTGTTCCGGGTAATCTCTGGAACGGCTGGACCGATTTCGACGGGACTTTCACTGGCAGATAGCTGATGACATAAGGAGTAACTTAGGCTACTTTTTTTAGACTAGCTTCGCCCCGCGGCGTTGCCCGCGGTTATAACAACAAACGCGGGTAACATCGCGCGTCTCAGCTAGTAGAATCATAATTGTGTACATGTTGGTTTTTTTGTAGGAAAAATCAGAATACCTAAATACTTTGCCGGCACAGTAAAATATATTGTAAAAACTGAAATATATATTATACTTACCACGAAATCATCGACAATAAATGAAAACTACTCTGTTTGGCTACTATTTACTTTCAGTTTGTTCCTCACTAAAGATAGTTTAGTATTATTTTGTAAAAGCAACGCCGAAAAACCCACTTTTTAAGTGGTTATCAATATTATACAAACATTATAAAACGAATATTATTACCTATATTTGAGTAATAATATTGATAAGCGGTAGTAGGTACCACACAATATTGTTCTTATAGCTTAAATGAAAATTGATTTCTATATGAATCTCGTGGAGGGGCTCGTGGCTAAGTTGTCACCGAGTAGGTTAACACATTGCAAAGTTAAGCAACCCTGCCAGGTCAGTCTATGGATGGGTGAGCATTCTTAACACATTGAGACCCCTCCGTGCCCGTGCCACGTTAAGGCTTGAACCGGTTGGCATTTGAACATCTGTGGCAATCGTTACAGGTAGTTGGAACCCCTAAAAAGTCCGACAACAGTCTTTCTAAAGAAAGTTGTGGGGGTCTGATGGCGTAAAAAATCGAATTTCAGCCGTACTCAAACTAGTTTGAGAAAAACGTTTGGAGGAAGGGATTTCTACATGAATCTGTAAAGTCATTAATACTAAAAGTAATGTGAATTCATTGCAATTTTAGCAAGATGTAGCCTTTCTCAAAGAAAAGGCAAAACACGAAATACTTTTTCAACTGTGATCGATGGCAGTTGGCCATAAAAGCTGTTCTTACCACTCATACATTTTTCTACCCTGTATCCATATTGATTTCAATTCCAGGATGATCTGAGCTGGGATATGGTGTTTTGAAAATTGGTGCGTGAAAGTCGCCGTCTTAGCCCCGGGGCCGGGGCCGGACACATAAAAAATGAAGTGAATGATAAAAACATTTTTCAGTAATGATCTTTGATAGTTTATTCGAACAAATCACATACACTAGTTCATATGGTATTAATTAGATAAATATGTAGGTTTTTTGAATCGGTTATGATTACGACAATGATATTTTTCAGGATTTCTGTAGTGTAAAATTTTGAATTGCTGTTGATCAAGAAAGAAAACTAAAACGATTGTAAATTTCTGGATATGCTGCCGAACAATTTTTTTTAAATGTGCATAATATATAATGTTTAGTGTAAGCAAATATGTAGATCTATGTATTCGCTTTCTGGTTCCCCCATAATTATAAGGGCCCTGGGCACGGGCCCCGTGTGCCTTAATAGGAATGATGGTACTGATACAAACTCTTAATGTGGTTTTATTTTACAAATTGCATTTTTTAAATTGCGCCAGAGTAATTTGGAATTATGGACGTGTCTATTTATATGGTGTTCAAAGTATGTCGCTTTTTCATTACTTAAGAACATAACTACAAAGGATTAGTACTCTTTTTTTTAAATCCAATTTGGTGCTACGGTATTTTGATAGTGCCTCGTCACCTAATTTTATCATAAATCTGATGTTGTCAGTGATCCATGGGTACGATGGTTCTCTATTAAGACAAGTCTGAAGCGGTGCATGAGCATCTATGACAGTCACAATATTTATATTTAGCGTATCAAACATGGTAATCACAAAGCTAAGTGTATCAAGTCACTCCAACCTAGTGTACTTAAATCCGAAGTAATACGTTTCTCAGACACATCCTTCAGACGTTTGAATTTAACATAGTAAGGTTTATATTTATTTATTTCTTTCATTTCACATTTCACTTCATAAAATAGTATGACTTAATAAAAGTAAAATGACCATTTATTTCCCTGAATGGGTCGACAAATATTTGAATAAAATTGCTTATAACTATCTTCACACGTTGACAACTCTAATTTTACCCCTTTTTTTTTCCCGTGCGGAAATCCCCTCGGATACCACCTGTCGGTGCCATGTCGGACTCGAACCGACTAAAACCGCACGCCGTCTCGGGTACTAATAGCCGGGGAACCAGGTATACCCTAGAAAGGAAGTCCCTGGTACCCCGACATACCTCGGGTCATCTACAGACGAGTAGACGACCCCCCCTCCGTGTGGGAACCCCATGTTCCCTGTGCTCCCTGGAAGCGTGCGCGCTTCGCAACGCGCTCGCCGCCACCCCGGCCTGTCTAATTTTATCCCTGAATAACACCAAACCGAAACTGGTGAAAAATCCATTTACCAGTTTAACTGTCCGCGTATCTCAAACATTGTTTTTAAATTAATGGTGTATGTTGACGAACAATATTAAATACTTAATGTTTTTGTGTTTGTTTTGTAATACCAGTCTAGATTTGGCAACACAATTTGACATTGACGGTCGTGACGGACGTTTGACAGAGCCGACACTTGACACTACTTGACAGCAACATATTATTAGATTATTACTACTATTCTGACTAAATCTAGAAATGCTTTAACTTTTATCAAATAACATTATCATGGCATTCCACAGAGGATGGCGATATGTTGCGTTTATTTCAGGATTTGTTGGAGTTTTAGGTCTCACGTTATATCCAATAGCCATAAGTCCTATGATAGATGCTTCTGAATATAGTAAGTTTTTATATGACACCTAATTTGTCTTATCAACAGTAACATAACCTAAAGATTAATTATTAGGAATTGTTTATAAACCATATAACTCATACTTTTTGCAGGAAAAATTCAAAGGAGGCAAGGAAAAATATCAGACAGGAGGACATACAACCTGGAAGTAAGTAGTATTTACTTAAATTCTGATCAACAACAACAAAGAAATTATGTTCCTTATATCATGTTGCACAGCCTGATCTGGACCTCTCCACTGTTTGGACACATACATTTCTTGCCACTTTATATGACTGTTATATTTGGACTATTACTTACATTGTAATAGTAAATTGTTTAAAACAAAAACTAAACTCATTGATTAGTACCTGAATCTATGTTACATTAGCACCACCTTTTTTCATTAATGTAATTATTTGTAATTAAATATAATTAAACAACATTGATCTGGGTGAGATTAGACTGGTGCTCAGATGACTTCAGAATAACAACAAAGCTCCTAAAAGCCGGAGGAACTCGTTTAATTAATTATATAACCTTTCTAAAGAGAGGTCTAGTGAACTGGTAAAGGATGTTGATGAAATATAATTTATTGCAAAGCACTGGCTGTAACTTGTAATTCCTAGTTCTTTTCTCAACTTAGCTACTTATTTTTTGCATTATAATTCCTCAATGTTAATTGGAGATAAATAAATTACATATTTTTTTTCAGATATGAAGGTCTGGACAGACCCATTTGGACGGAAGAAGCCAGAACGAGATAGTGAATAAATAATTAGCGTATTATAGTTATATTTATTTAATTGTTAATAGTAAACTAAATGAACAGTTACATATATTTTATTTATTCAACGATAAACATCTACCTTAATTGCGATGCGAAAGGCGAACCACTATATTTCGAAGCCAACCTCACCTGCACGTGGTGCATCCTGCTGAACGAGGCTCTGGCGACCGACCAATGACGGTATATCCACCATCATCCCTGGATGGCGGGGTCTTCCGTTCCCGGCGGCCCTGTTACTCGTGGTCATAGGCGACCACGGTTACGGCGGGGCAGGGGATGCTAAGAATCTCCTTGATACGAGAGGCCACCACAACTGACTAGGGAAGATTAGGTGGCATATCCTAGGGCTATGTGAAGAAGAGACCAGCAGTTATAACCAAACCAGTATAACCAAAAATGAGATCGACTTCATCATGACAGACAGAAAGCACATATTTAGAGATGTCTCAGTGATCAATAGGTTTAGTACCGGTAACGACCACCGACTTGTCAGAGGAGAACTACGGAGGCGTGGAGTAGGAGTGTGGTCCTCTTGTTCTTCAAAAAGGGTGACAAGACCATGTTGAAGAACTATCGACCCATATCCCTTCTGAGCCACGTCTACAAGCTGTTACCGAGAGTCATTACAAACCGTCTTGCGAAGTGATGAAATGCCTCTACGAAGTAACCACTATATCCGATTGCGATACTGGAACCAATTGTGGTACACGGGTAAAACTATGTATACCTTGGACAGACATTGCAGTTAAGTAAAACAACTTCGAGGACGAGGTGAATAGAAGAATTCAGCTGGGTTGCTCAGCGTTTGGGAAACTACGTCAAGTCTTCACATCGTCGATCCCACAGTGCCTTAAGACGAGTCTTCAATGCGTGTGTCCTACCCGTCATGACATACGGAGCCGAAACGTGGACACTTACGGGACAGCCGGTTCGTAAGTTCAAAGTCGCGAAAAGGCTATGCTCGGCGTCCGGCAGAAAACCAAGATCAACGACATAGCCCACCGGATCAGCTAACTGGGGTGGCAGTGGGCTGGCATATGACATTAGCCGCAGAACCGACAACCGTTGGGGTAAACGAGTTCTTGAGTGGATCGGCAAACGCAGTGTAGGACGCCCACAGGTCAGGAGTGACGATTTCGAGTGGGCAGGAGTGGGTGGGGCTGCTGCTTCGGGAAGTACCTGCTCAGTCGCTACGTCGCGAAGACGTCATCTCGCAGAAGGAGGCGACGGAGAGGGCCCGGGAGGAAAACCTCCACTCGAACCTAATTCGTCGTAAAAAAAAAAGGTGGAGTGACGATTTGCGTAAGATGGCTGGCAGGAGCTGGATGCGAGAAGACGAAAACCCTAGGAGCAGGCCTATGTCCAGCAGTGTGTCCTTCAAAATATGCTGAAAATCCTAGAAATTAATCAATGTAGATCCATCAAGGGTAGCACATGTCACTTCGATATATATATTTTTTTTTATATAGTTATTTGACAGCAGTGTCCAACAAAATGGCTGAAAACTAACCAATGTTTTTTGGTTTTCAATCAGGCCGATACCAAAACTATAGTCCTACCAGCTTCCGTGAGTTTATAGTTCGGGATTGTATAATTAATGTCTTTAAAAAAAATAAAGCGTAGATTTTAGTACATAACGTATAGAAAATGAGGATAGGTATGTGTTTGTTTAAAATTTAAAAGCGGGTTTTAGGCGCCGAAATTTAGGGCCGCCGTAACGCGAAGAATGCTTTTATGGCATCCTGCAGAAAGCTTAGCCACAGCACCCGATTTAAACCTTATTTACATTGGCTTAGATGTCATAATCCCGTGACCTATGTTGCTTCGTGGGACGGTGGTGGTCGCGTCGCGTCCCACGAGCATGGAATAAAACGGTATGATCAGAAATAAAACCCTTTACCGTGCCTTGCTGTGCCGTGACGTCAGTCAGCGACGGTCTTTATGTTTCCATGCTGTTTTGACCAAATACGAATATATCAAATGGGGTATCAAAATGGTTTTTAGAAGAATACTTACTATTTTAATACTGTTGGTTTTGAGAACCCAGTTTCGTGGTAGACTTAAAGCCGACCCCAACCTAGTATGGGAAAAAGGCTCGGAGGAACTCCGTTTCTATGTATTTGACTGCCTATAAAGAGTAGGGATATATTACGTATGTAGGTACATATATTTGTTTCGTTTAGATATATTTGCCTCGTCTGAAGTCAAACGAGACTCGGGCTTTTTTACCTTACCGAGCCCAATATAGCAAGATGGCATAACGGACTTAAACTACACGGTTTTCATGGGAACGTAGGTGTATTTTAAGAAAAAAAACCTTGTGAACCCTAATGTTAAAACTTGCTAAAACCCAATTATAATAAAAATGAAACGAACATTGTATAAAATAAGATTTTAATGTTCAAAATTTCAGATAACCCAAATCGGCTACATTTCCATCCTAAAGCTTTTATACAAAACAGTGTCATCCTTATTTTTTAGTTTCAATTTCATAAAAAAATAAATTTGTTATCCACGACATTGTATTTACAGGGTCCAAATGTGCTCGTTTTTTTGTATCTACTAACTGTAGTCATTATTACTATGTGATTAAATATGTTTCAAGCTGAGACAAATAACAATCGTTTGCTAATGCCGAAGTACAAAAACTAGTCGGGCATTTAAAATATATACACGCTTATACATACTTTACTTTAGAATTTTACACTCGGACTTGCATTAAATTGTATTTTAATACAAGCCCGCGATCCTTAACAATATTCTCTCAGTTCAATTATTTGAAAACGAATTATAACAATTATGACATTCCCAATGATGATTTATAATTATTAAAGAAATTTGCGAGCTCTCCATCTAAATGAGCAAATGCGAATTGTAAAAATTTAAAATTGAGCTGTTACGATTACGTGACTTAAACTATGATAGAAAAAAAAATGATTTTATTTAACAATTATTAGTAATGCACGAAAATATTTCACGAACTCTAAGACTCATAGAAAACTATAGAGTGGAAATAAGCAAGTTTATACAAATAATATTGCTTCGTTGCTATATAATCTACAACTATTGTTGCTAAATACTCTCTAAGCATTATGTCAATTGCAAAAAATAACATCACATACATTTAATCTATTTTATATATTATCCAGCTATGTCATCGTCTGGCAGTTTTCTATTACATTTTTGCCTTCAGTCGTACCTTTAAACATAAGTTTTATATGTAGGTATGTACACTACCAGTATTTAAAGCCTCTACAAAATTGATAAAATATAATATGGACAAAATGGAATTAAAAATAAAGTAATATACAATTCTTTATTTCAAAATATAATCATAAAACTAAATGGACCTACTGCATAGAGAGAATTACATTTGGTTAAAATAAAAAAACTTAAATATAACTAAGTAAACAGATATTTTTATTTTCTATGGTACATTAATGAGTCGAGTCATCACGCCTACTACTCCACCATTTTGAACTTAACATAAAACAAATGCTGCACTTGCATTTTGTCTTTTACGTACTTTGAATAAATTTAATGAACAAATATGCAAAACTATAATTAATATATTAAAAGACACTACAAATTAAAAAAAACCAAACTGGTCCTTACTTTGTCAAATACAAAACCAAATATTTTTCTCAGCGAAGCACAATTATAATCTGTATATATTTTTATATTGTGTGGATTTTGATAAAAATTTAAAATTTCAAACCATGTTTTTAAATTTTTTATAAAGACGTATTAAAAATTATACAAAATATAAATTTTGCCAATTTAATTCTCTCTGAACATAGCAGCGTTTCAGAAATAATTTGTACAAATATAGTTTAGACAAATTTTGCTCTAAATCTATTTTTGTGCATGTGTTAAATTTCCGCAATTCACAAATTTCCAACGTATTTCGTTGAATTTTTAATATTACCTTATAATTAAAATATAATGCCAGGATACATATATATATACGTGGCGCTCCTTTTAGTAAAACAAATAGGACAGGAGATTTTCTAAATTAATATACTTTATAATCTAATGAATCACTTTCAGAACCAAAATATCAAAGCTGTTATTAATTGCACACATCCAAATAATTGTGCGATTTTTGCGGATCAATAATGTGACGCCCAAGTACACACGGCAAACGAAATATCTGGTCAGGTTTATATGTGTAGCTTATTCCGTTAAGTGTAGTATTACATACATATGTGTAAATTGTAAATAGCTCGTTTCTTCACTAACTAATATGTTAGATATATTTGCAAATTATTATTGTTTATAAGCGATTGAGATTGACGTGAGAGAGATTACATGTTTTGCACGAGATTTGATGCAATACCTTTATTTTCAATGGTTTTTTTTCAGGCGTTTTCTTGTATACTTCCTAATTGTTTTTATTTTTAACGTATTGCATTACAATATTAAAAAAACACACGAACGTAAACGAGGTTTCAGTCGCGTTCACGTGCGCGTCAGTTACGGGCGTGTTTCTGCTTTCTTTAATTGTTAGTTTTTAAAAAATTTAAATCAAGGGTAAAAAGGCGATCGTTCATTACTTAAAAAACTTAAGTCAAGCGCCTCGTGAATGCTAAAATGTTTTCTAACTGCGTAATATCGAAGGTTAGTAGCTAGAGAAGAAAATTGAATCAGGGGACGAATTGAGTTAGAAACGAAAAAAAAAGCAGCAGCAGCAGGACAGAAAGATCTTTGGAGATCTTTGGAAATTTTATTAGAAAAAAGATTTGCAACCACAAAACTGATAAAATCGCAACTGCGTGATGCTAAAGTGAATGCCAGAATGCAGTGCAATGAAAATTTTATTCGCGTAAAAATCAGATTAAAATATAATTATTAAAACTATAAATTGTATCTAGTAGAAACTATGAAGCTGTGTGCACTTGATAATTCAGAGTCACGTTAAATTTTATAGTGCGTCTAATATTTATGGCAAGGACTTTATTAAATCACAGGTATTTCGCACTACTGGCCAGGTATTTCGTTTGTCGTATGTATCACATCCTCTAATAATAAATAACTATAGGATTTGTATCACCGCATATAGATGTTTATAATTTGACTCTCACGGTTGATATCATACATAATATTTAAACTATATGACGTCACACGTTATTCTAAGCGCCACAATCGCTAGTCACAATACAAATATTTTTTATAGTATGCATGCAATTGTATGCACTAACCTATTGCATGTTCTGATTCTGGTAGAAACCTTAGTGTGCACAAGTTCTTAAGTTGATGTCTTAGCAATGAAACCGATTATATTTATATGTAATTTGTGAAAGTAATAACTATTAGAATTATTATAATTCGCGAACGTGGGCTGTTCACAGGCACATTTCCATACCTGATATAGTCTTTGAAATAATCAAAAGCTTTAATCGTTAGTTTCATTTGAATTACTATATATATGTATATATATATCATCACTTTTCACGTGTTATCACTTAACGCTGGAACGTCAATTTATATTAAAAAACTAATGCCAAAATTCGTCGTCCTCGCCCACCTGCAAGATTAAAATAAAATAATAGTTAAAAATGCTGATAATAAAGGTGAATTTTAACAGTATATTAAAAAGGATTAGTATATAGCGAGACTGTTACGTAAAGGCTTTTTGTGGTTTTTGGGTTATGTATAAAATTCGAAATTTGGGTAAATGTTTGCTTTTAGGTTTAGTAAGTAAATATAATATTACAAAATTGTTGATTTTATTCAACTATAAAAACTACTACAGAGCCTAAAGACAGAACGAATGTGAACATGACAGTTTTAACAATAGAACCAGCAATGGTGTTATGACAAACACTTTGGCTTTGTATTTAGTACTAATCTATAGTTTAAAGATCGTCGAAGTGGAAAATACAAGGGATAAATTAACTACCCAGCACTACACCGAAGATAAACAACGGACTTTAGCTTGTACGACATTAGTATGGTTGGGATTATTGGTCAGGACAGAATTACGCCTAAGTTTCTGAAGGCAGGAGGAAGATCGGTCTTTAAAAGATGTCCAATTCCGTCATACTCGACGGGAAGTCGCCTCAGGCGTGGGTGTGGTGGTGCTTTTGTTCAAAAAGGGCGACAACACCCTGTTGAAGAATTATAAACCCATCTCTCTTCTGAGTCATGTCTAAGTGCTGTTCTTGAGAGTTATTACGAATCGTCTTGCAAACAGATTTGACGACTTCCAGCCTCCTGAATAAACTGGTTTTCGAAAAGGCTTTAGTTCCATATACCACATACATATGCTGCGGCAGGTTATACAGAAGTCCGAATAACCTTCTCTACTTAGGTTGGCGTTAGTGGACTATGGGAAAGCTTTTGATTCGATCGAAACTTGCACTAGTCTCCAGCAGTGCAAAACCGACTATGAGAGAGGACCCGAGAACTACGAGAACCCTACTATGTCAGTCCGTCTACAGGATCAGAGCTCGGAACCTATCCAACAGTTTCGGAAGATCTGCCTCACATGGCAGGGAGATGTTCTCCGAAACTCTTCAGAGTGGGAGACGTCTTTCAAGCTTCTGGACTGGATTGGACTTGGCATCAACGACAACTTCGATTTGCTGATAATATAGCAGACACAGCTGAAACCATGGAAGACCTTAGCACAATGCTCGATGGCCTTAGTAGGGTCTCTAAACTAGTCATCTTAAAATGAGCATTGGATTAGATGAAAATTGTGTCAAACCCACTTCAATAAAAATTGGAGACTACTCTACTCGGAGACTACGCTCGAAGTTGTTGACGACTACAAACTATCCAGTTAGGTAGGTCGAACTTCGAAAAAGAGTTCAATCTTCGAAATTAACTTGGCACAACAATAAGAAGCTTCAGAGAAATCGAGAGGGCAACGCTCGGAGTTTCTCTGCGTGATCGAATTAGGAATTAGGAGATCCGCAGACGAACAAGGTCACCGACATTGCCTGGAATATTGCCAATCCGAAGTGGCAATGGGCGGGGAACAATGAAATGAAGGCCGATGGGGCCAAAGAGTTCTTGAGTGGCGCTCGTGTACCGTACTGACGAAGTGATGCTGGCAAAACTTGGGAAGAGGGGGCTACCACCCGTACACGTCTTTCGGCTGAGAAGAAGAAGGTAGAGTTTAGTAGTAGGTAAGCGGTAGTTACTGAGTATGTGTTAAAAGTGCATGCGTATATATAACAAATGTAATATACCTGAAGGAAGTATTGATAGTCGCTGCGATGATAGTTGCCTTCGTGTGCAAATGTAAATTTGTGGAAGGTGCCGTCCTTGCATATCACTGAAACGTTATTATTAGTAGTAAGGCATACATTACATTTTTTATAAATTTTATTAGTTTTAGACATAAATCTTCTGATACGAAATAATTTATGAAAAAAATAATTTCAGAAATGTTATATAGGGCAGTTCGATCCCAAAATGGGCAGGGCCTGTGCTATAGCCAGCAGACTGCCGATAAATATTAATAAATATTTCTAAATATCTATCTATCATCATCTTCATGGTCATAGGATTCTCCTTTGAAAGGAGGCCGGCCAGACGGGTCGGTATAGGGTTGCGTTAAGTTTTCTTTCTCTCGGTGTAGTTGTTCTGCGACGTTCGCTCCCGCAGTCGGCTCTTACAACACCCACGGAACGAATAGGGGCGGTGACACTCCATATTCTTAATCCGTCACCACAAGGACGGACGGATACATATTATACTGAGTCTGATATTTGAACGGGTGCAGAAGGCTTAAAAAGTGGCAGAGGAGGCCAGATACGTACCGATGGCGGTGTTGTCGTCGATGAAGGCGCAGAGCGCGTGCATGATGAGGTCGGGCGCGGCGCGCGCGGCGGCCAGGTGCCCCCCCGCGGCGCGCGGCCAGGGGCGCGGCGGGCGCTGCGCGCGAACCCCGCCCCCACACCCGCGCCCCCCACCGCCCCGCCCCCGCCGCGCTCACCGCGTGCGCGCCGCGTCCGCGCGCCACACGTGCAGCGTGCCCTTGTCGACACGCAGCTCACCAGCGAGCCCGACCGGTTGAACCTATGCTGCGTGTACGGAACCGATAGATCGTTTACTGTTACGCCGTTACCACTGTAGTGATGAAAATCGAGTGAAGTATCGGTATTACGTGCACATTGTTTTAAATAGAATAGACCATGCTTTATTGTACATCGGTTACGTGGAATACGGATATGTACGTGTGGACATGATTCTGCTAACGCTAAGGATTCTGATATGAGTGAGGCAGGTTAGGGAGGTGATTATGTGTGTTTTTTTTAAAGCAATAAAGTACCGGTGCATGTTTGCCAAGTAAAAGTTTAAATCTTAGTAGCGGGTGTTTCACGTGACAAGGAGATGAGTGATTTTTTTTAATTGTTTATAAATACATCGGGACATCATAAAAGCTATGTAGGTCACTATATCGGGAGAGGGCCGATCCCGAGCGTAGAGGACGTCGAAGACCATACCGGCCACCGACGGGACCGCGGGCCGCCAGAGAGTGGGAACCTCTGGTGGCAGATTGAATGCTGCGGTAGAGGATAGGATGGCGGCCTGATTGCATTAAAACGAAATTGGGCCGCCACGTCGCGATTGAGGGGGGATGTGTTTTTTCCCCTGGGATAGGGCCTGATTAAACATGGTGTCAATTCGGGGAGGACCTGAAATAACATGGTCCAGGTCCTCCCCGAGTAGGGCACTTGAGGCCGGCCGTCGGGGTGGATTTTAGTGGAATCACCCCATACTCCTGGCTCCTGAGTCCCAGAGGAGCAGGAGATCTGTAGGGATTTTCCACCCCGTCAAAAAAAAAGTCACTATATAAGTTTTGAGATGCTTGCTCGAAATTTGGAAATGGATCTGTCATATATTATTAAAAGGCAAATTTATTTGAAAATCGAACACAAAACGCCATTCACAGAACATACATGAAATTTGTATAAATTGTATATTGTTTATTTTTTGCGTGTCTCAATTTATATACAGTAGTAGTGTAGTGACGTACGTAAATCAGGCAGTTTAATCGTCTAGTTCTTGCAATTCAAATCGATTTCGTTATGAAAAAAACATTGTCGATAACAGGTCACTTGGTCTTTTATAGGACCTCTGCCAGGCCTGAAAGGCGGGCTTCTCCAAAACACACAAAATCATATCGTTGACAGTTTATTTATTTTTTCTTTTCGTTTTAAAAAAGACAACTCCCGCGTTAGGAAAATATCCTGTGTCGCGGGGGACTTTACAAACATACATGAGACGGACACAAAGAACACCCAGACTCAGAACAACAATTTGTGGATCACACAAAGTGTCGTCCCATGTGGGGATCGGACCCACAACACTCAGCGTAGTAGTAAACGGCGTAGCGACCGCTTAAACCACTACGCCATCCGTGCAGTCAAAATTTTACTTCGAACTTAGCTAAAAAGTGTTTTTTTAAAGTTTATGGAGAGGAATTCTAATAATATAAATACAATAGAGGGTAAAAGGAAATTATTATTTATGATCACTTAGTAACTCACCAAAATACGTCGGCGTAGTCGGCACCCCTGCGTAGTTCATGCAGCATGGTCTTGGTGGCGGTGTCCCAGAGGCGGATGAGGGTGCCGCGCTCGGAGGCGGTGGCGAGGCGCGCTCCGTTGGCCGAGAGGCTCACGCACACCAGCTCCGTCTGGTGGCACCCCATCACCACGGGAGACGTCGAGTGCGCGCCGCGCAGCGAACGGGTCACGTCCTGGATCACAATTCGATATCAATTTAACTTTCTTTTAGACACCATTTGACTTTTCATTCGGACGGCATTCCGTTTTTTTTTATAACTCAAAATTTAAATAAGTAGTGGTCAGGTCAGTACAATTGGTACGCGCAGGCTCACTACTACTTATTAAAAAAAATTGAAAAAAGTAGAGGATGGTGGAAAGAGATCATAGGAGAAATACACAAGACGTGTTCATGTGTTTTCATTAATTTCTCAATTCGGTTATACTTGTTTTTTACCTCAGACCTACGTCAATATGATCTTCTTTTGTCCTATTCAAATGTGAACAAAAAAAACCACCCCTAAGGTTGGATAATTAAAGAATGAAAAATATGGTTTGTTACAATTCATCACGATGTTAATTGTTAGAAATGTCTATGTTGTAATTTTGCTATTAATCATTTTTTATTTCGTTTAACGATGACTTGCAATGTGGATTTTACCTGCCGTAATAGACTCTATAAATAAAAACTAAAGACCAGTCGGGTTTATGTCGACTTTGTAAGTGACTCACAAAAAGTTGTTCGTGGTGACCGCAATAATCTACAATACTTGACGCAGTTTCCCATACAACTAGCTAGTAGTAAAAATAATGTAATAGATATCAAAAATTAAAATAAATTTCGATATGATAGTATTTCCTACGTCATTTTATGTATATTCAAAAGTTGACTTAACCTTAACTAAAAGGGTATATAACTTCCTTTGCTGTTTCATGTATAGAAATAGCACAACAAAACAATGTATAAAAAATAAAAACGTTGTTCTTACGAGTAGTTGCAGGGAGCCTTTCCGATGCGCCGGGGCAGCTAGCAGGTGTGGCGCGGTGGGCTCGCTGGCCAGCGCCACGAGGGCTCGGGCGTCGGGCCGCGTGCGCACCAGCGCCACTCGCGTAAACGATGGGAGCGTCAACACTTGGATGCTAGATGACAGCGCCACTGCCACTCTACACACACGAAAATTCACACGTCAATAAAAAATCTCATTTATTTATTTAAATTTAGATAGTGATTTTATATGTGGGTTTTATAAAATCTTCAAATATTTTGACTCTAATTTGTACTGTTGTGAGTTACATGTACTTAGTACTAGCAGCGTCACCCATGTATGTATATAGATTTTGTCAAGCCAGTTTTCTGGGTGAAAGATGTTTTATGTCCTGTACCCTTGATTCCTGACGATTTTTTTTCTCTTTGAAGCTTTAAAGCCTCAGCGTAACAAATAAACAAATCGATAATATATTAGTAAGAATTCTTCGCCTATGATCAACAGCCTTTAATAGTCCACTGCTGGACATAGGCTTCTCCTTAGAAAGGAGGTTTTGGCCTACTATACCACGCTGGCCAGACGGGTTGGTATAGGGTTTGTGTCAAGTTTTCCTTCTCTCTGCAGTACTGTTGTCCTGCGTAGTTTGCTCACTTAGTCGACTCTTACGACACCCACGGACTTATAGCTTTATAATTGTGTACTAAGACTCTAGCCACGTCGGAGATGTATCAATTGTTTTCCAACTGATAATGACTTGTGCGGTTTATTTGCGTATCGGCTTTGTAATCGTTAACTTTGTATTGAATAGATTTCTGGGAGCTACACGGAATTTGATGCAAGACTTAAAATGTTTGCTAGACCAAAAAAGGGCGGTATTTTTTTATGGACAGGGAGGCAAACGAAAAGACGGATGAAATTATGGTATCAGACTACATCTGTACAAATGAAATTCAAAAGACACTAGTACTTTACCGCTTTTTGAGTGCTCCCAGAGAATTATTGTGAGGGAGGTGAGGTTTGCTTAACACATGTTTAATGTTAGGCCCTGATATCGGAGTGTGCTGAAGCCCTCACAGACTAACAAAATACCATCACGTATAGATATAGTATCTATATGTATAAGAGCGGAGCTGTAAAGAACGGCTAAATGGCGAGGTCCGTCTGGCAGTTGTATTGATAAGTATATACATTAAAACTTGATCAATGCATAGAAAATTCATAAGTCGTTATTAATGAGCTCTACATTAAATAGTCTACACCTTAACGTGTTCCATATCCTACACTAGCTGTACCCTGCCATGCTTCACTGTGACATATTGTTTTTGCATTGATGAGAACTGAGGAATAAAGCTGTCTGATAAAAACACACCTTTGAAGCAGGTTGTTTATTGCGTGAAAATTTGAGCTCAATCGGTGTAGAACTTTTTTGAGTTTTGAAGCGTACACAAACCAACTTAACATTTATATATGAGACAATGGTGCTAATTCTGTTGTCCGAAAACTCTTTAAACTAAACTAAAAATCACTAAAAATAAGTTTATTACTGTCAAATACTACGTTTTCAGAATACGAAACGTTATTTGACAGGAGTAAACAAATTTTTAGTTTAGTTTAAAGAGTTTTCGAACAACAGAATTATAACCCGGCAATCTCGTGCGCGACCGTCCCGTGGGGTGACAGACAGTGGCGGGGGCGAGGTAGCGCGTCATTCTAGCACACGGTTACACACGAAGAGAAGTGTTTCCCTTCCCCGCTAAACCACCCCGCTACCCGCTGACAATCTTGAGTACCTCGTCCCCGCCACCGTCTGTCACCCCGCAGGACGGTCGCGCACGACGTTGATGGACTATAGCACCAATATGTATAAAACACAGACACCATAATAGCAAAGTTATTAAACTGCTCACAAATGAAAACATAATAAACAAATAATGGTTTTACAGAGACACACAACTCAAGTCAGTGGGTTATTGGGTGAAGGTAGCTCTTATCTTATCGGTGTAACGATACTGTTATTGGTTACGTTTGTAGTTTGGCCGTTGCATGGTCACGTTTCTTGTATAACTCTTTTTTAGTCTAAACATACGTAAACAGTAATATATCGTGACATTATTCTGAAACACAACATTTGTTTGTCTCGAGAAGTTTTTTACCAATTCATATGTACATCCCAACTCGTCTGGTCAGCGTAGTATTGACTGCACGGATGGCGTAGTGGTTTAAGCAGTCACTACTTACTACTACGCTAAGTGTTGTGGGTCCGATCCCCACATGGGACGACACTTTGTGTGATTCACAAATTGTTGTTTTGAGTCTCGGTGTTCTTTGTGTCGGTTTCATGTATGTTTGTAAAGTCCCCCGCGACACAGGATTTATTCCTAGTGCGGTAGTTGTCATTTTTAAATAGAATAGAATAGTAGGCTGAAACTTATTTTCTAAGGAGCGGATTCCACTGCTGGACAGAGGAGGTCCAGCAGTAGACGATGAAAGGATGAAGATGTAAATAGAGATAGCTTGTTAAACGAATTAAAACTGTATTGAATGTCTTGTTTCATGTCTTAGCCCAGTTTAACTTGAATTTTCAATTTATAATTTTGTAAAAATGGGGTGATGCTTAACAAATTAATACAGATAATCCTTTATATCTGTCTATATTCGTCTATCCGTTTGCACGAAATCATAGTCTTTGAAGTTTCTGGTTCTTTTTTAAATTATTATTGGGATTTTTTATATTAACAGTTTTCCAACTCATGTATGTCGAAGACTTGAGTTTTGTTTCCTTCAAATAATGTGATTTTAATGCAAGGTTGTATCTGTAAACATTCATCTGATTTTTGATAGACTCATTACGTGATTTTCCACTTAACGGGGCTTTTTTTTTTCGTGCGGATATCCCCTCGGATACCACCTATCGGTGGCATGTCGGACTCGAACCGACTAAAACTGCACGACGTCTCGGGTACTAATAGCCGGAGAACCAGGTATACCCTAGAAAGGAAGTCCCTGGTGCCCCGACATACCTCGGGCCATCTACAGACGAGTAGACGACCCCCCCCCCCGTGTGGGAACCCCATGTTCCCTCTGCTCCCTGGCAGCGAGCGCGCTTCGCAACGCGCTAGCCGCAACCCCAGGCTGCTTCTGCTAGGGTGATTGATGTCACCCCCAGGCCTGCGCTTATGGAGGACGGAGGTACCTGCCTGCGGCGGTACCTGTCCCGTTCCGGGCCTGGCGGGCCGGGAGAGTTCTGAACCTCTCCGCCGTCTCCTTCGCGAGCATAACTTGCTCGCAGAAGGAGACGGCAGAGTTCCACGCACTCTCGCTCCGCACAATAGCCGCAATCAGGCTATCGAGCGAGAGAACTCCCACTCCGATGGCCGCCACGAGGTCTCGCCTCTGCTCAACCCACGCCGGGCACTCTGCCAGCGTGTGGAGAGCCGTGTCCACGGTCTGGCCATCGCAGTGGTAGCACTCAGGCGTTGGCTCCTTGCGGATCAGAAACAGGTGATCCCCGAAACAACTTAACAGTGCCTAAAAATCTCCTCCTGATTTATAGGAATAAACACTGCATTGATTAAATGTATCCACATGTATCTACATTTTATCACATAAAACATATGTTTACAGAAAAAACCTTGAATTAAAATCACATTATTTGGAAAGAAACTCTTCGACATACATGAGTCATTTTCATGTCATTTACACGAGTCACTAGACAAACGGCTTAATACTACTACTACAGATTATAATCAGATGATTTAGGTAGATAGTAATTGTAATTCGGGTCATATAATGTTGCGATAGTTGCATTGAGTTCAACTAAAGACTTCTGAAATTATTATTTAACAAACTTAATTAGATACACCGTAATGAGATTAGAATTGCATAGTCTAATCAGTCACCAAGCTTACAATGGGGAAGCCGTAAAATTGTTTGCTACCTTGGTAGTTTAAAAATAGTGTTTCAGTATAATTCAGACTTAATGTTGATACAGTTGTACACTATGTTTACTATTTTTACGTCCACGTGTCGTTTATATACGTTTTTTTGTTAATTGATGTGTTATATTTGTTTAGTTTTAAAAAAAGTAAATAAACTGTGTCAGTGCACTTCTGCGCATATTTATGTGGTTCGGCGCACAGCAGATGTTTTATACAGTTTTATAGTGATTTAATTCCTCCCTTGTCTCTGTGTGTGTGTTGCGAATGTTAAGTTTTACTTTTATTATATTGCTCTGTTTAATTTAACCTCCATTTTATATAAATATAGAACAATAATGTTCTTCTTCTGTTATGAGTGCAAATGACTGCCCCTATTTGCTAAAGCTTAACTTAGACGTAATTAAGACATACTCGGACTTAATTAAGATGAATTAAAGAGATTTAATGAAGAACTTACTTGTCCCTTCTGGCCCGGAGAGCTCTGATGGGAGACTTGAACATTATTTCTGCACGGAAGGCGCGCTTCTGATCGTCGAGCAGCATGAGGCTACAAGGGCGGCGCGCCCTCACCAACAGGAGCCAGTTGGTGCGGAACACCATTTCGCATAGCGAAACCTCGCCCAGCTCTTCTTTGCCTGTAAATGTTATATTTTGCTACATCAGTAACACAATTCGATAAATGTTGTTACTTGTTTTTTTATATACCCTTTATTTAAGTAAAAGTATTTTTTTTCATCCCTCGAGGAAATTCTCTGGACGGTGGGACCCAGAAAAGCTACAGGATACCTACCATAAACTAACCCTACCCTTATCCGTATCCCCGGCAACGAATATACAATCAGAATGATGGTACTACAACGGTACTACTACAATGAAATACGAATAAAAATAAAGTGATTTTTCTATCTTAAGATGTTGGTAAAAACACACAAAGGAACATCAAGGCTGACGTAAATATCTATTTATGTCAATATTTCTTTGCCAGAAAATATATATTCTGGCAAAGAAAAATTTGCATTAAACGGGATTGGAGCCCACGACTTTTGACGTTACAATCGCCTGTGTGTAACTTAAACCGGCTGGTTATTTTCGTCAAACCATTTCGGCAATGACTTAACAAGTCTGGCTCGTTGTATGAATCACTTTAGCCAAAACCCGTTGGTTTATTACTTTTTACTCACACTCCATCAACTGCATGATACAGCTAGTACATTGCCTTTGCGCTACAGAAAATAAAACTCAATAAGCACTGCGTTGGATCAATCGCTTATTGAATAATTTACTTACTTAAAACAACAGAAACACAAAAACGTAGTAGTTAATAGTATAGATTATTATCGAAGAGTTGAAAATTCGACCGTGGTTCATTAAATTTATCGATATCAGTAAAGCCCCGTTAAAGTTAAGAACCTGTTCCAAACAATTAATTAGAAGAAAAAGACCGGTTTACAAGAAGATGCAATGAGCTATCTTTTACTTTATTGATATAATTATTTGTATATTATTCGACACATCATTATCATAACATTGTATAGTATCTGAAGCTCAGAAAGAGTTTGGGACCTTTGAAACTTTAATTTTACTTTTAGGTTTAGCAGAATATAATCAGTTAAAAGGTAATTTCCATTTCAAGAAGTGTAATTATATTGAGTTCAGAGCTATAAATACGTCAAGTTCAAAGTTTATGATTGGATGATATATTGCATCATTGACATGTCGCCAAGCGATGTATAAATACAACAACAATTGCCTGACACATCAGTTTATTCCTAAATTAACTAATTAAAAATTTATCTTAAAATCTCTATGTATGTAACGGATATACTGATTTTAATGGTGATTTTCTGGGCATATGGAATCAACAACCATGCATTAAAAACCTATAAGATATGTCTGTTGTTTTCTCTTAAACTGTGGGTTACATAAGTTTGCAGCAACAGAATAGAATAGAATAGAATAATCTTTATTGTACACAAATTCAGGATATCATACATACAATTCAAGTATTCAAAGTTAATGACCATGTACAAATGGCGGCCTTATCGCTAAAAAGCAATATCTTACAGGCAACCTTTGGATGGACAAATAGACTGTAAATAGGTAATTTCATGGGCAGATTTGGTGACAGAATGCTCACTGGAACCGATTAATTCATAAGGACGCCATAAAAAATGTACCAAGTACCAAAAAATATTCTCATGTGTTATCAGCTTAAACGATCGTTGAAAAGAGAGAAAAAAATCGTTTCTCTCAAACTTTTTTGAAAAACTGCTGCCGCACCTTGTAAAGCAAATCAGGGAATGATTATATTCAGTCACATTTGGTTTCATACGTAAAATCATTCATCTCTATGAAATTTGGCCTACGTTCAATCCACATAGGACAGTTTGTTCATACGAGTTCATTCACTTGCATTGCCACTTCGATCGCACTTTAGGATCTAACCTGCAAATATAGCTTTGTTTGTTGATGGGGAGCATGATTGGACAATTTTTCAATAGTGAGTCACGAATCTTCAGTTACGTAGTTAGTTATGAATATAATTATATACCTTATTTTACACGTCCTAGTGTTGAATGCATTATGTCTCTTAAATGTCAATTCTGATTTAAAAATGTACTTTTATAATAATATATACTTAAACTCACAATAATAGTCATCACACAATAGTGCCATATTATCGCGCAAGGACAATTAGATAATTTCTCGAAGAGCAATGTACTACACAAAAAAGAAATAAAAGATTAAATTATAAAGAATATTAATCATTAAAATCGAATTGTAGTAATTGTTTCATATGCATTTTCTCAAAGGGATGTTTGATACGATGCGCGATATGTGGGAGAACGATACATCGAGGTTTAAGCAATACGATGCAGCAGACGGAACTGCAAAGAGAAGGAAAACTTGAAACAATCCAACGCTGGCCAAGACGGGTTGGCATAGACATCAAATTAATGACCATGTACAAATGGCAGTCTGAAAAGCAAAAGTCTAAAAAGCAATTTCTAAGATTAAAAAGCAAGACAAATTGAGTTTTGGTGTGAAAAAATGTAAAAGAAACATAAATTATTATAAAGCAGCCAGTTTGGTTTGATAATTTATATAGAGCTAAAAATAAGTAGGTACAACAGGTATACATGTAACTGTCTCCATCGGTACTACAACAGCAAAAAATGCATGGTCAATGTTCTCAAATGTTTTTGCATTTTTCAGCCTAAAAGCAAAATTGATTCCGAATTGTATGGCGATGAGCAAAGATAATGAATCTATTCTTACATACATCACAGGATTCTTATATTGTCATAAAACCTTCCGTAAAAGCCGGCTCTTTTTTCAGAACATCACAAATATTATTATAGAATGTGCTTCGTTCGCTTAAACGTACTTTATTTTTTGTTATTCGTACCGCACTAATTTTTTTTTACCTAATTCAACAAAGCACACCCTAGACCATTTTTTTGACTCTTTAAAACCGATTGTCTCTCGAATGTCTCAAGCCTTTTGGTATTAACTAATGTAAATAACTAACGCTGTACAATATACGGTTCTACCTGTTCTACCCAAGTTTTGTTACAATTTATAATGGTGCACGAGCAATAGTGCAAATGACTTTTTTTTAAAGTTGTACTTTGCTATGAAGACAAGCGAAATCATTTGTTGCCTTCTAATACAGAGATATAATTTTCCCCAACTACTATTACAAATGTTAATATTTTTGTAAATGAGAACATAGGAATTATATTTGTTATGGAGCTTAAATAAAGTACACATGGGAGAGCCATGCTTCGGCACGAATGGGCCGGCTCGACCGGAGCGATACCAGGGCCTCACAGAAAATCGGTGTTAAGCAATTCTTTCGTTGCCTTTCAATGAGTGAGTGAGTGTTACCGGAGCCCAAATCCCCCCTCCCGCTGACTCGAGCGGGAGGGACTCCAAGGGCGGCAACGCACTTGTGACTTCTGAGTTGCAGGTGTTTATGGGCGGCGGTAGTTGCTTACCATCAGGTGACCCGTCTGCTCGTTTGCCCCCTTATACCATAAAAAAAAAGAAAATAGCACATACTTAATATCTAGTATCTGGCCGGATACCAGATTTTACTGTTATGGTGAGTTCAATACGATGGCTGAGAGTCCTCTCCACAGATGAGGAGGAGCAATCGTGTGTTGCGCAACCATGTAGATCCTTATAGTAATTCTGAAGTTTAGAATGCTGACTATATGGATATCGTAACACTTTACCCTTTAAAGGAGGTACCCTTTAAAAAGAAATGACTAAATATTTAGGTGTATAAAATGTTTTATGTAAACATCGTTTATTTTTCTGCATACTTTGTAATTAATTGTGTATTGTTTGCCTACACAAAGATATAAATTAGAATACGTGTCAGTAATGCTAATTAGGCGTGATGACTAATAAAGTGGATGACTGTAAGTAAAATCAGTAGGAATATTATTTTTAGTAAATTTATTTTTGAACAATTAAATCTAGTATCTAGTCGTTATTCAAGTTCAGTTCAAGATAGTTTTTCCGTATAAATATTTTAGTATCAATTCTTGCACGTACACAACAACTTAAGTTCACCAATGTCAAAGAACAATGGATGCAAATAATTTGCGTCGTTTAGAATTGTACTAATATAGAATATTTTAAAGTGAAACTGCGTAAAACTAATTCAGCCGTTTCTGAGTATAGTAGCTATAACATACACAACTGTTCACACTGAACTCCAAATAGGAAGGGAATTCGACCAACCCTCAACATATATAATGTTATTTACTTATTGATCGAGTGCTAGTTTTCCAAGTTACAAAACATCAGAGTTTTTAGAGAAAATGAATTTATAAACATTTTTAAAATTCATGCAAGTAGGTACTCATTATGAGTGCAGTTTCAATTTCGTTTTTTTTATTATTATTAAATGACAAAGGGATCTTATCATTAGATACATAGTAATTAATACCCATATACTAATACACAAAGGCGGGGGAGAATCACAATGTATACATGTGGTCGTGTGGAGCCCTTGATAACATCGAGTGATTATATATTATTTAGTGAAAGAGAGACGGCAATGTAATAACGCATTTTCTCTCTGTGGGGTCGGTCAGAGTTGTATCTGGAGCACATGATCTGCCTCTGAGTCTCTTACGACCCTTTGGTAATTGGAGGACGATGTGTCTTTCACTTGGTCCGTCCATCTTGTTTAAGAATTATCGCGCCTTCGGTTTGTACTTTATTTGTAAGAAAAAATATTATTTCCTGTCAAGTATTACAAGTTCTATGATATAGTAATGTTTTAAGTACGACGTAACACCGATTTAACATTTTGTTATGGTATGGGAGGGCAAACTAGCAGACCAAGATAACCTGGGTCTCAATTCTGCTATTTTACGCTAACGTACAACACACTGTCATTCCATTGACACTGTATTAAGTTGCCATTGACATGGGTCAAAATATCGGTATTCTACTAACATAAATTCACAGTGTCCATAGACTCTATTGACACTGTGATTTTTTTGTTACTAAACTAAAAAAAACACTATCACTACATCGACAGTCTGTTGAATAGACTGTAGATTTAGTGATAGTTGCTCATCAATTAAATATTTCATTGCCTTTCAAAAAAGTGTACCGTTTACCAAACTATTACAAAGACATAGACGACGTCTATATCGGTGACAGTTCAGTGAGAAGTCATCGGGAGACTATAGCTCTTACACAGTTAGTAGAATACGAAAAGTGCAAAACTATTCCGACGACAGTCCATCGACAGTCAATTGAGACACTATTCAAATAGCTCACTCCGGTCGAGGCGGCCTATTTGCGTCAAAGCATGCCTCTCCCTCGCTTAAGTATTACATTTAGAGACAAAACACTGCCATATAATAACTATTCTGTGTAGGTTATTTGCGGTACTTATAAGAATAAGCGTCGCGCAAAAATATACTATCTTGATAATAGAAAAGTACAAAAAATTGAGTTGAATGTACTCGAATCAGTTCACTATACCTACTTATTATATACAGTAAGTGACATCAAAACTAGAATGAGTAATGTTTGTAAGATGTACAGTCTAATAAACAACAGCTCAAAGAAAAAAGATCTCTGCTACAATAGTGATTGTAAAATGGGCCATAGCCAGCGAGCCCTTGGCATCAGTGTTGCTATTGAAAATTTACTTACAAAAAAGAAACGAAACAATATGAATCGACCCAAGATCGCAAATCAGTAAGGGACTAACGACATCCATCCATTAGCATTTCAAAAAAAAACTAAAGCCATGACTCGGGAACGGTTTTTTTTTGTCAAGGTAATTTATGCCTTTTCAGTACTTCTGGCAATGCGCATAAAAAAACTTTATGACAATTCTAAAAGCGTAAGCAATACGTAAAGAAACAAACACAATTTCAACTGTCCGTTTTAAAGTCGTAGTTTTTATTTAATACATTTTTAATATTTACATGGAAACTAAATAAGAAAAAAACTTTTTTTTATTGTTTGTTGTTTGAATGTCTGGCTTTTTGGTCAGGTGAATCTCTAAAACGCGTGGACTAATTTCTGCGCATTTGGCATAAAGCGAATGTTATAAGGAGTAACTTAGGCTTCTTTTATTTTAGAAAAATAATCATTATGTACAGCTAGTTTACAATAACTAAGGAAGTTAGAATTAGCACATCATTCGGTAATTCTTTGAGTTTTAGTAAAACCTTTGCGATCAGTCAGTTTTATTGACGTCGTATTACGTCGTCGTGTATATATGTATGGTAAAAATTGGCCTTTGTACTTTCTTGTCGAAGTATCTCCATACCCAATTTTATTAAAATCGGTAAAAAAAAATACTTTATGTTATTATTTCAAATAAGTTATGTTACATTTATTAAGTTTTAAGTTGAGGTATTTACAGAAAAAAACAGTTGTATGTCCAGAATATTATCGTTTATTCTTTATAGGTATGTTTCAAAGTTGTCGCTATTTTTACTACAATCATTGACTAGCCTTCTAGGATTGAAGTCAAAATGGCGGCAACTAGAAGGTAAAAGTATGCAAGCAATTAACAGGAATTAGTGTGATAAAGTACATTGAAATATTATTAATGGTAAATGATAGCTATTTTATGTCTACATAATTATTTTTATATACTCTTTGAATATTGTTCTTAGTGGACTAATAAGTTTGGATTACTAAAAGTAAATAGCATCTAGAATTGCAACAAGCAATTATTATACATTGAAAAATGTTGATAATGATTATACAGGCTACAGCAAACCACATGCCAATGAATAATCATTAAAACTAAATAAGTTATGGTAGAGTTTTGGAGGATTCCAGTAAATCAATAGCTCTTTTATTATAAAACTTTTCTTGTGCTAGTTTTATTTTATTTAAAGCATATCTGGGAGTCCGTTTGCATCTTGGCAAAAAACTTTTGGGGATTAAAAATAACTAAGAATTCACTTTCATGATGTATAAACAGTCATTGTTATATTAGGCTTTTGACTAAAGCCGTTTGTAACACCCTCTTGAATTAAATAATATAAATATCAACAGCCTGCAGCTCTACCCATATGATTCCAAAAAAAAACATTAATCATATGTACAATTTTTAAGAATAAATGTTGCTGATGTTACTATGATAGTAAACTATTTAATTACAAATAATTACAGTTTAAAGTAATAAGAAGTAAGGATATTTACTTTCCCTGCCTTGGCTTTTTCATTCTGATGAATTATGGTCTGATAATTACCGAGCTCAATTTGTTAAAACTCATTGTGACCATGAAACCTAACTTATTTACTAGTGGCCAACTAAAACTTTCACTATCTACGCTCCGTCTAAATCATAAAATTATACGTGTTTGAATTAACCATGACAATTGGAAGTAAATTAACCTTTAGTTCTAAGATTTATCAACATTGTTAGTTAGAAGTTAATAAAATAAAGTATTAATAACTATATGCATCTCCATTGCTACAATAAAGGAAAAATATTTAATTTAAAATTTTAAGTTTTTCTTTTTTTTAAACAATTTATGTTTTGCCAAATTACGAATTGTTAAAATAACTATCAAATGGTCGATAAGATGTATTTATCATTCTTAATGATATTGATAGTAACTTATTTGATTTTATTTTCATCATGTAGACTACAGTTGGCAGTTGGCATGATGACGAATGAGCAAAATGGCGGTATGCCGTAATGTCGAACCAGCAAAATGGCGGTATGTCGTAATAAAGAACGAGCAAAATTGCGATATGTCATAATGACGAACGAGCAAAATGGCGACATGACGAACGAGCAAAATGGCGACATGACGAACGAGCAAAATGGCGACATGACGAACGAGCAAACTGGCGAAATGACTGACGAGCAAAATGGCGACATGACCCATGGCGTCTAGCAGCATGGCGTCTAGTGTCGCAACATGGCGTATTGCTTCTTTGACTTACGCGGGCAAATTTAAAATGTTTTGTTAGACAAATTTAAATGCTTTTCAATGCCTTGATGATTGAGCCCTGACTGCTAAGACAGTGGTCGTGGGTTTGATTCCCACGAAGGACAAACGATTGTGTCATGAGCACAATAATTTGTTGTGTATGGGTGTAATTTATTTATAATATGTATGTATTCAGTAATATATATCAGCAGTCTGGTTACCATAGCATAAGCTCTATCTAGTTTGGGATCAGACAGTTGTGCATGAAAGAAAGATTTTACTATTATCGATGCAACTATTCAACAATTTTGTGCTCAAATGAAAACATTTTTCAAAAAAAAGGGGGTGTAATCCCTATTTCAACCTGTAGAAATATCATATTACATCTTAATTTAATAAACCTAACAAAGCTCTGTAAAACAGTGCTAAATAAGATACAAATTATAATATGTAATTGAAATGTTTGTAAAGATTTTAGTAAAACTTACTGTAGTGTGCTTTTTCAACCAGAGGTTCCACATTGTAGACACGCAAGCCGGTTTTAAGGCAGCAAGTGAAGCAGCCTACAACAAACATTTAATGTGATATATGTGCATAAATTCATCATTATAGTAGCATGATCGTAAATATCATCATAACAAACAATTTATTATTATATATTTATTTATATAACAAATGTGACGAAAAAAATAATTATAATTTTGTTTTTGTATACTTAGTCAATATGTATATAGACTTGTTGATGCCACAATGATTGTTTAATTAAAATATGTAAATTAGTACATACTACACTACAAGGTGGTTCTCAATTACCATGCCATTTATAATAAACAATCAATTTATAAAACCCTCAAATACTAAACAAACAACAGCTGTTAAATAATAAATCGCCTTATAGTACCGTGACCTAGGTTTATAAAGTATAAAGTAGCGTTTTACATTTCGAAAACAGCGCGAATTTTACAACTAACACCAACGCCCAAACAATAGCATGCGTATAAGTAGAGTAAAAACTGCGCGTGGGCGTGCTACTAAAAATATAAACAACACGTGGAGCGTTCCCCAGCACGAGTCGCGTTGGCGACGTGACCCAGCGACGATAGCATTAATAGACCCCTCAACTACCTATATTCCAAAGCACTGTGTGCCATACCACACCATAAAAACCACCGCACCACCACTATAATATGCTTAACCAACTAGTTTTTAGTCTGCTTGAGAACAAAGAACTCAGGTTGACGAACTAGGAAGTAACACAAACCTTGATCCTGGTTAAACTCCAGGCTCGTGATACCGCTGTTCCACCGGCGCGCCATGTCTCTTCCACCGCGAATTTATCATAAACATTGAGTATATTTTGTATGAATTATCTCAGTGGACATTTTCACACCAATAATTTTATTACGCACATTTATTATTACATGTTCCCTGTGTGTGATACACAGCTGATTTGATGACGGATGACATGAAAACAACGATGTTGACTATTGCAAAAAAAAATAGTAACTAATTTGTTGCCACCTTCTTGCAAAAACTACCATAAAAATAAATAGTAGTAATTTAGGTTTTCTACTTTTTCAAACAAACTGTTCTTTGTCAACAATCTAAAAATTGTCAACGGAATATTATAACAAGAAGCAGAAAATTAAAACCTTAAAATTTTTATAGGCATTTATAAAAAATTGTAAATACTAATTCGGGTAAGCAAAATATCTAAAAATTACATTTTGTAGTTACATATACACAGCGGAAAATAGGAGATAAATTTCTTCTCATTTGAAAAACTAGAACCTTTTCTCCTGTACAAAAATTTTGGCAACCACTAGTCTCTCGAGCGTCGCGACGTTCAAAAAAAACTTGGAAAAAACCATTTTCTGGGCTTGTCATTTTTTGCTGTTAACAGTAACCTAGAATTAAAAAGAACTTTGAAACATTCGCCTACAAGGTCTGTTAAAAATAACACCACAATAGGTACATAATGCAACCAAACGCAGGTGTATGTAAGTGAATAATTTACATATTATACGTTTTTAGATTATGCATGATCATTTACGTACATAGGTATGTATTTATGTCGTAATAACTAGTTTTTAGGTTGATTTCTACCTTCTGGTCATTATTGTCATTGTAATAAGAACACATAAAATGTAAAAACTAATATTTTAAAACGGACTGAAAACGTAATTTTATTTTACTAATGTTTAAATAACTTTGATGTTCAATGTAATGGTGTAGTATTTTAGGACAATTAACTAACAATTAATTATAATAGGTTTTTCTGTTTACTTTACCTATGAAGTTGGAGATTTTTAAAACCAGCATTTTGAAATTTAATTATCTGTGTATTGGCGCGCAATTCGAATTTCAATATAAATTTGATTCAAAAGCCATGTTATTTAATTTAAAATGCAATCATTTGTTTTACATAGTGTTTTGTTTTTGTGGAATAGTGGTAGCTTTTGGCGGCATGGAAAAACTGAAAATTCGTACAATTTTCGAATATGAGTTCCTACCGGAAATACCGCTCCGTAAACAATACGAAACATTAACGACGTGTACGGGCCTAACACGACTTGCATAAACACGGTCCATTATTGGTTCAATCGTTTTAGATCTGGTAATTTTGAATTGAAGAACGAGCTTTGCGATCGACCGGCAACTGTACTTAGTCGACAACGACGAATTGTAGGCGATAGTGGAAGCGGATTTCACTCAATCTACTGCTCGGCCTTAGAGTTAGTGTCAAAACAATATTGTAGCACTTCCGTCAAATCGGAAAGATAAAAAAGCTAGATAAGTAGGTGCTACACGAACTATGCGACCTTCAGCGAGATTACCGCGTCGAAGTTTGCATAGCGCTACTGAATCGGCATAGAAACTAGGGAATTCTCAATCGAATTGCTACCTGCGATGAAAAGTGGATCCTGTACGACAACCTTAAGCATTTGTCTCAGTGGGTGGAGATCGGGTACAACACCTAATCAGTGCGCTAAAAAAACTGTGGACTCAGTGGTGGATTACCCAAATAACCAATTTTTTTATATTTTTATACAAATCTCTAACTTCATAGTTAAATACTTGATATATCCCTAGGAGAAAATTAACGCAGAAACAATATGGAGTAAAAATCATGAGCTATCCTACATTATTTTAATTAATTTATTCTAGCGATCCGCCCCGGCTTCGCACGGGTAGTAGAGCACAATAGGTCTACATGTTTTTTCTGTCGTAGGGTCGCATCAGCTTTTTGCATTGAATATATGTAGATTACCGACACCTGAGTAAGACAGGCGCTTTAATTTCTTTTTGCTCAGAGGTGGCTTGACTTTTCTGTCATTTTCAATAATTATCGTCATATTTCAACTAATCAACACAAAACATTAACCAAACCAGAAATATTATACACATAAACCTTCCTCATGAATCTCTTTGTCTGTTGGTGAAAATCGTATTGATATCTGCTCAATAATTTTTAAGTTAATCGTGAACAGATAGGTGGACAGACAGACGTGACGTGGTAATTTTCTTTTAGAAGAAATTATCATCAGATAAGTTGTTTAGTAACTGTAATGTTTAATAATGCATTTTCCCAGATTTATTTATATCTATGCGAGTTAAACTTTTTCTCAAGACCAAACATCAAGCTCACTAGAATTAAACATAATTTGATGAAGAATATAAAGACGAACACGTTTTGCTTTACGCGAGTTAGTTTGGAAATCAGGTAGCTTTAGATATTGGCCAAGACATTGGCAACTTAAAAGTGACGTAGATTGAAGCCTTATAGTATAAGGTACCTATCCTTTATTTTGCCATTATGTTGGTATTAATGGCTGGCTAGCACAATTAAAAAAAATACAAAATTTCAAAATGTTTTTATCTTCCCTCATTGAAGAAATTTTCATACAAATCAAATTTTTGGCTTCAAAAGCAGTTTTAAATTATGTAGGGTGTCAACTAGCTAATGTAGTGATATTAAATCTAAAAAATATTAACATTTTAGGCTAAAGTGAGTTGAATATACACAACACATTGAGTGTGGCATATATCTGTTGACGGATAAAATATAAAAAAACATCTTACAGTTACAGTTTCCGTCGCTGTGTTTTCAGAGTTATTTCAACGAAGATGGATTTCCAAACAACTGTTTCTAGTGATTATCAATGGCCTTTTGCGAAACCAATAGTTGGAAAGTAAGGAAACTACATTATATATTAGTATTTTTAGTTTGAGCCTGATATCTACATGTCGGCAAAAAGTTGCATGACAGTAAGTAGACGTCGTGACAGCTAAATGCCTTTGGCCTATTTGTATTTCCTCCCTTTTTATGATGCCTTACCTTTTCTGTGTGTACTCCCTATAAGTATTATTGCAACACTTCTTAACCTATCGTTTGTTTTAATTGTTTGCTATAAGTTGATTCTAGGACTTATGGTATGGTAGTAACAGAATTTAGATGTACTTAAACACAGTTCACTCCTTGCTGCTGTTTTGTATAACATTTGAATATGAATGAATTTAATTAAAAACTATTCCAATATGAAAAGGAAACTTAACATTTGAATCCATTTGAATTCTAGCATACATCAAGCGCCTCAGATCCCTTTAGACAGAAATGTGAATGAAACGACAGTAATCCTTAATTCAGTTATGCGGAAAGTAGTGTGTACGGAATAAATTATCTTTATTGCGAAAAGGTCAACTACCAGACGACCTAAATCGGTGGTTTTCCATATAAGTAAACAGCATAGATAGATAGACTTTTGTTTACTACTAGAGTAAACAAAAGTGTAATAGTCTCACTAACTAAAAGTTAGATGTCTAGAATAATTTTCTTTAACGATTAGACCATGCGAGCCACCCATCCCAGACCCGGCCCCTCACTTCCGCCCGGCTCCGGTAGCCCCGTACTGCCACTGCGATGCCCACTCATATGAGCCACGCGTGGAGCAGTACAAACAACTGCTGGACAAAGAACAAAAGCTGTGTCAGGACTATGCACAACTAAGCAAACAGGTGAGACAAAACTTTTGAAGAAATGGAAATGATAATATTTTTAGCACTTGCAGTATTTTTTGGAACAACCTGAGACGTTTAAGTCCTCTTTATTTTTTCTTTTGTGCGTTGTTTTTTAATGCTATTCTGTTAATCAATATTATTATGGCAACTGGAATCAGGAATTCGATGACAACATTGAGAATCTTGGAAATCTTAATATACACTTGTCTTCAAGACATAGGTATTTTAATATTACGTAGAATATAAACAGTAGGTAAAACTTAGAACTTCATGTCTATGTCACGTCACCCGGTAGTAAGTGACCAGCATACTGACTAAGTGATTGCAAAAATCTCTAACGTTCAGAATTAAAAATCGAAAATGCTTACAACAACAATATAACAATGCTTACAACTGATCTAATATTTCACATTATAAAACCGACATTTAAGGCTCCAAATCAATGAATTTAGCAATTAAAAAATAAATAAGACACGATACCTTTTAATATTTATTTTATTGTTAAAAAGGTAAAATGAAAACGATTTATAAATGTACACTCTTTCATTAAATTTATAACTTACTCGCTTGATCACTTACTTTTATTGAAAACCTTAACATTAAACTTGCGGTCGCTGGTATACAATTCGATGAAAAATATCAGTAGGTTTTTAATAACTATCTGGTTTCATCATAAACAGCCTTTAATAGTCCACTGCTGGACATATGCCTCTCCTTAGAAAGGAGGTTTTGGCTGGTCTGGTTCTTAGCACACGTTAAATTATTTCCCGTTCCGTGATTTCAACTTCCTAAGGGGCTGAGTGTAATTGTTGAAACTGCAACTTATACTGTTGCAGATGGTGGATGTAACTAATGACATTCTTGACCATCCCTGCGATGATCTTGATAGTAAAATGATTACCATGTACCAATCGACTTTCAAAAAAAGATGTAAGTTTCAACTTCCTATACCTTAACACTATCAAATTAATGACTGCACGGCCGTAGTGGTTTAAGCGGTCGCCACGCCGCTTACTACTACGCTGAGTGTTGTGGGTTCGAACCCCACATGGGACGACACTTTGTGTGATCCACAAATTGTTGTTCTGAGTCTGGGTGTTCTTTTTGTCTGTTTCATGTATGTTTGTAAAGTCCCCCGCGACACAGGATATATTCCTAGTGCGGGAGTTGTCTTAATTTCAGTTTTGTTTGATTGATTGGGCATTACGGCTTTTAGAATAGTCCTGTTACGTATATTTTAAATGTTTCAATAGCCAATCGAAATAAAAAACCTCCTCACAAGTTCCTTTATCGAATCATAAGTAATTTGAACTTCTATTGCTTTGATTCATTGAACTATGCATTAGAAAGATTTAAAATAACAAAGTAATCAACATTTTATTGCAGCATTTCCAGTGACTGATTACCGTAAGATAATAGCTGCTTCACAGTCCCCAGCGCCTGTTCCAGTAGAAAGTAATCGCTTAGGTATTTTGCGTTGTTACAAGGACCCGACCCATTTCACTGAACCGCCTCCTAAGGCTCGGCCAACCATTAACCCTCCAGGAACTGTAAACACTGGAGTTATGCCGACATCTATAAAAACATATATGACTACGTACCCAGGACGGACAGAGTATATGGACGCTTACAGTGCCACGGGCAAAGCTTTCTTGAACTCCATGCAAAGATTTAAAGAACCGATGCCCTCAACACGGAGAAGGGCGGACGATACTTGCATTTGATTGAGCAGTACAAGCATTTTGTTTAGGTAGTGATTCGTATCTGTTTATATGTACAAAGTTTAATAAATAAGGGAAGATAATTCTTGTATTATTTGTAAGGTGTAGATATTAGATCCGACCGAGATGTGTCACATTTTATAGCGGTTTCCTTTCTAGGTGCATTTTGAAGCACTTTCAATAAGATCCCGTGATGAATTTTCATGTACTTTTAGTCGGTTCCATCCTGAAGTACTACTTTCTTTAGCTCCGATTAAAGAATGACCAATGAGGGTAAAAAAGGCATGTCTAAATCAGTTATTGCATTATCAGCCCAATGCAAAAGAAGGCGATACTAGTGTCGTCTACTGGATACTTCTACAGATTCTGTCCTACTACTAAAAGGTTTCTCTCAGAAAAAATACTTTAAAAAAGTATTACCAACTTAAATGCTCTGCATGTCTGCATCATATGAATTGTACAAACTGCAATTTGGAGCACCAAGGCAAAATGTTGGCTTTTAAATGGGCGGTATGCTTTCTATCTATTGTTTTTTTTTCTATCCATTAATTTAAAATTTCATATATTTGAGTTAGATCACGCAAAATAATATGCACCAGCTAATGAGGTGTTTTGGGAGTAGTAAATGTTTGATACCTTATCGGCAGCAATAAATAGTTCCGTCATTCTGTACCCAGAACAAAGCATAACCTCATGCATCGATGTTTGTTTACACTGCACAAAGTAACATAAGAACTATTATGTGATGAGAGCAACTTCTTTGTTCACATTTATTGTCTACTTTGTTTAACAAAAACATTGTGTTGAATTAGGTCATCCGTTTCCGTATTACTGATTAAGATTAGGTCATAATTTTTTAACAAAATACATTTGGGCATTTTGTAATGATTCAGTTAGACTTCAGTTAGAGGGCTTGCAGTGAATTTGAATTAATTATATCTTCTTTTCCAGTGTCCTGCTTCGTGTCACTGACACTAACTTGGCCACGATCATGGATTTTAATTTTGTCGCTAATTAGTCAAAATTGGTCGCCAGATACCAGAATTTGTCTTTCACTAGTTGTAAAGTTATGAGCGTTTCTAGGGACAATCTGCAAAGCTTAGCTTTGTTTATATCTCAAAAACTAGAGCACCTAACTTAGATCTGTTTGCACCAAAATTTAGTCGCTAATTAGTCAAAACTTGTAGCCGAATGTCAGAATTTGTTGGTCACTGGTTCAAAAGTTGTAAGTGTTTCTAGGTGGCCAACCTTGGGAGAATCTTCCCAGGTCGGCCACACTTATACAACAAAAACTAGGGCACCTAAGATTTGTTATCTCTTGAATTTAGTCCTTAATTATTCGCAATTTTTCTTACATTTTGGGCCGAGGAAGGAACAGCCCTGCCGAGGGTTGCTCTCCTGTTTAGCGAAGGGCACAGTGGAGAGCAAGCTAAGGGGCGGACGGGTTCTTACCGCTGGCTTTGTCCAGAGGTAGTGACACTGGTCTGATGCAGATCAAAATATCGGCGGAGGCCGACCTCCCAAAACTGGTCGATCTGCCGCGAAGAAAAGACGAAACGCCGGAACTCGCGATAACAAAAACGGGTCGGGAACCTCATGGACCGAATTGAAGAGGCGATCGGCATTGCCGATGGCTTACTTCAGACGTCCCGGGGATCCGGGGCTCCCGAAAAAGATGCCCTAATGAGAGTGGTACTCTTCATTGTCGAGGCGGGAAGACTCCTCGTGGCCGGAAACAAGGCTCACAAAAAGGAGAAAGCCCGCCTCCAAGCGGATCTCGCCTAGGCGCTAGAGGGGGTGTCGGTCTCCACTCGTGCTCGGGTTGGTACCACGCCGTCGTCTTCGACATCTGTGGCGCCATCCAGCAGGGTGCAGCCTGACATGGTTCGACTCATGGTGGAGATGGACGACTTATGAAGCGCATCTCTGCAGTAGAGAGCCATCATTGTCACCCACCTCTGGCTCCGCCACGGACTACATATGCGGGCGCTGCTAGGGCGGGCCTAACAGCCCAGCCAGCAGCTAGGGTGGTTGGTTGTTAAGACTTATTGATTCAAATGCACGTTTTGTAATTGAATCCATACCAATTTAATTTAGATAAATGTACGAGTATTGGATGCTTGTTATTGAGAAAGTATTTTCATTGCTCAACACCTTAATTGATTAACTAAACGAGTTAGTACACGTGCTTTAACATTTTTTTTGCGGTATAATTTTAATGATACCAATGCAACGTGACATTGATTTAATATTTAATAATATATTTTCTTAATTTACAATTTCTTCGGTACTTTTTGACAAATAACGAAACCTCCGTAGATTTATTGACTGTAACGTAAATTACTACTGTTTTGCGTAACTCGGGCTTCGATCCTATTTTGGGCCAAAAAATATTTAATTATTTGAAGATCTGGTAAATATGTGACATAAAACAAAACACCGAAATAAAAACGCAAACTTTAAAGAAATTAACAGCTTTTAATAGCTCTCCGAGCAGAGTACGTGAATTAATTTGCTAATAAAGCAAAAGATTTAAGCTGAAACATTGTCAAACATTGTTTCTTTAAACTAGGAGAAATCTTGTTAGGAATTGCACTGCACGTATGACGTAGTGGTTTAAGCGGTCAAAACGCCGCTTACTATTACGCTGAGTGTTGTGGGTTCCCTACATGGGACGCCACTTTGTATGATCAACAAATTATTGTTCTGAGTCTGTGTGTTCTTTGTGTCTGTCAGGATATACGTATTCAGTTTTTACCACCACTTTACATTATTAGTTTTGTTTTAAACGTTATTGGTCAAATTATCGAGGGGGATCGAATTAACCTTTTTTTTTATTAGCTTCTATTCTATGGGTAACCGGTACTCGGATTCAGTTCTGCATCGGTAACTTCAAAGTTTATCACTTTAAAACTTTAGAAACTCTTATGTAGGGAACTGAGACATACACATAGGTACAACGAATGGTAAAGAATTAATTAAAATAACCAATAACATGTATAGTAATAGTTTTACAATTGTCATATATACAAAAATAAAGGAAGAAATTCTGAAAACCACATTTCGACCGCGGTTTCGGTACGGTAAACTAACAGAATGTATCTGTTAGTTTACGTGCCCGTGAAATTATAAATAGACACAAATGTCGCCAATTTGTCTAAATACAAGAATCAATTTATTTTGTGTTAATATTATTTATATCAACACAAAATAAATTGTATACTCTATTTGAAATTGATTTTCATTATTAGTCTTAAATGGACTTATGAAAACTTAAATTTAAAGTGATTCAATTGTGTGAAGTGTTTGGTGTGAAAACGTTTCGATTTTTTTTTGCTAAACGCAGAAGTCGTAGTATTATATCTAGGTCATTTTTTTTTAACCGGTCTAGATGAAGTGAATATAGAAAAGTCAATTTCTATTTCGTTTGTGTCAAATGAAAACAATGTTGATTTTTGGTAAATTAATAAAGTAATAATTAAGTTCGAATAATTTATTGATTACACTTACAAAAACCATATTTAAATAAGAAATATCAGAAATAGACATTATCATAAACCTATAAAATTTTGCATGTGTTGATCACAAAAATTAGAAATTCGAATTTTTCGTTTTGTTTGAACGAACTTGTGATTATATTTATAAAAGTTAGTAATGATTGTATCCATTTTGTCAACAATTGAAAAACGTTTAACATTACCAGTTTTGATTAAACATAAAAGTAAGTACTTATATGTGACAAATAAATTTATTATTATAAAGGTATATTATGTAGGCGTCGTATCACAGACAGTTTGTCTTTTAAGTCGAACTCTAATTTTTTTTTTAAACCTTAAATATTTTTATTATTATATGCTACAAAATGATTCCTAAAAATAGTTATAGTGAATTATTTAGCAACTATTATAGGAACTGTTGTTACGTCATGGGTAAAAGATTAGCAAGAAGAACATAAACCTCAAGGAAATAATACCAAAACGAGCGGTCTACAAATAACTAACATTATAATAATTTTAAAGTAATAGTTATACTTTGATAAGTAACTGAATTCTAGTAATACTAGAATTCGAACACAATGTGGATAGGATTCAGTTACTTATCAAAAATTTGAAACATTGATTTTACTAAGCCAGTTGAATTATTCTTATTTCTCATTTTAGAAAAGAGAAGACAAGAATCTCGAAAAAAATACCTAGGTTCAATTACTGATTGTACTTTTTTCGCGAATTCGCCTATACCAAATGCTTTTTTTCCCTTAAGTTGCTAGTCAATCTAATAATTTTTGTCCTTTACTTTAATTCAGTTGTTTTTACAGTTTGATATTTTAGAAACCCTTACCGTTTACCGCTGAATCATGATGGTAAAATATATGGATTTCCTTGGGTTATAAACGACCTAAAGTCATTTACTTATCGATTGTGTGTTCAGAATTGTGAAATGATATCCCGAGAAAAATGAATCGTGATCATGTGATATGTTTTAAAATCTTACAAACATCTTACGTTATTATATGACACAAAAGGTATCACAATTTTCATACTTTTAAATACTTTTACTTCGTAATAAATACTAAATATGGATTAATGAGTAGATACTATAAATAAGTTGTTATAATATAACTATATTTTCTGTAGTCTTCTGAAACTTCTGTTTTCGATGTGTCCTGCTGTTTGGTCTGTGGCTGCACATTTTTATTGGTGTCCTTCAAGGGTAGAATGAAACTGGTGACGTCACTTACTAGCACCAATGTACTTAGCAGTAATATAAGTACCTGTAAGATAAAGAAAGTGTGTTCATAAAAATGTTAAAACTACTTTGAACTCTTAATCGCTGTCTTGTAAGATTTAACCTAATTACACGTACGTAACATGTGGCCATGTTATTCTGTGCTATTTTTTACTCTAGTTTATGACCCAAGAATAATAAAAGTAGCTACCTCCCCTGGCGGTTTGGGTAAGGCACTGTGACACCTAACAAACAATAGCGTTCGATGACGCTTCTAT